CCCCCCCTCTCCCCCCCCCCGCCGCCTAGCCTAGATGTAGCCCCGAACTCATCCCTGCTCCGCTAAAGGACTCCCCCCTCCCTACCCCCCCCCCCCCCAGTCAGCCCCACCCTCTCTTCCCACTGCCAGGCTCTGGGCTCGCCCTCGCCCTCCCTTTCCTCCTTTCTTCATCCAACCTACCTTCGTTCGTTTCCCCTCTCTTTTCTTTCTTACAACCCCTCCATCAGCATCATCAGCACCAGCATCCGCATCCGCATCCTTCCCATCGTCGTCGTCGTCGATAACATCGACCACAAATAACGACAGCTATACAGCGGGATACCACCAATCTCTCTTCACTCTCACACCTACACATCCGGCGACGTTCAATCCCGCCTCTCAAACCCCCCTCCCCCCACGACGAACGCGACACTATCCCCGTCGCGAGACTGGCCGCGGCCACCATTATACCACCACCACACAACTCCATGACCGCACAAATACAACAAATGAACCCGACATCGAACATCGCCTACTTGACACTTTAAGCCCTACGCCCACGCTCGCGAGCCAGACCCGTCTCACCACCTGTCGTCGGCCTGGGAATAATTGGGAGGGAACGAGGGAATAGGAGAGCAGAGGAGAGCAGAGGAGACCGATACATATCAAACCAACAGGACCAGCCAGCCAGCTCAGTCCACCTACCAGAGATGCCCATCGCGAGCATGAGCGTGTTGCCGACGGCCCCGTCGTCCACATCGTCGTCCATCCGGAAGTCGTCGCTGGCCCCCGAAAAAAAGTACAAGTGTCAGTGGTGTAATCGGGCTTTCAGCCGGAGTGAGCATCGCAGTCGACACGAGAGATCACGTAAGTTGCCCGCTTCGGCCCCTCACCTACCACGGTCGCGTGCGATCGCCCCCCCCTCCCCCATCATCCATCACCCATCATCCATCCGGAATCGAGATGAACATCATCAATCTCGTGCTAACGCGCCGCCTCCACAGACACCAAGGAGCGTCCGTTCAAGTGTATGAAGTGTCGGAGTACCTTCGTCCGACGCGATCTGCTTCTCCGACATGACCGAACGGTGCACGCCAAAGACGGCGGCATCCCTCTCCACAGCGATGTAAAGCGACGAGCCGGACCCAAGCCCAATCCCATGGCGGGCCCGTCCAAGACGGCCATCGCGATCGACACCTCGGCCCTCGAGCAGATCGAGGCGAGCAGCGATGGCATGGTGGATCTCGAGACCGCGGCCATGTTGATGACTGACCTGCACCACAAGGCCACGGCGGCGATGCGCAACGCCGGCGCAGGACCATCGGAGAATAGACCTGGAATGGCTTTCTCGCATGGCTCGGCCGCGCTGATGGAGCCATCCGTCACGTTCCCCTCCGGGGCCATCTCGCTCCCGCAGGTGCAGTGGGATTCCTTCATGCCGCCGACCGCCACGGAGCCCAAGTCGCACTCGATCACGTCCACCGGGTCCGAGTCGCAGGCGTCCTGCGCCAGCACCAGCACGATGCAGCCGCATCCGGCCAACCCCTCGGCACCCATGAGCGACTCGCCGGCCCACGGCTACAATGGCCTCGTGCCTGCGCTGCAACAGATGATCGATTCGCTACCCGCGTCGGGAACGGCAACGCCCACTCAGCCCTCGCCCTCGCCGCAATCCCGGAGCCACATCGCGCCGCGAGCCCCCCAGGTTCTCAACGACGATGAACGCAACGTCATCCTGGACAAGATCCGCGCCAGTGATAGCGAGCGCGCCATCCCGGACAGCTTCCGTCTGCCGAGCTTGGCATCCTTGAACCGGTTTCTGCAAACCTACTTCAGCTTGTTCCATCATCACTTGCCGTTCTTGCATCCGGCCTCGTTCAAGGCGACGGACGTGTCCCCCCCCTTGTTGCTGGCCGTCCTCTCGATCGGTGCGTTGTATGCTTTCGATCAAGACCAAGCGTACATCTTGCACATCGGGGCCAAGGTGCTGGTCAATCAGTTCTTGCAGAACAAGGAGAACTTCAGCTCCCGAAAGTGTCCGCTGTGGACCATGCAAAGCTCCCTGCTCAACATGCTCTTCTCGAGCTGGAGTGGGGATCCGAAGGGTCTGGAGTGGGCCTGCTCCATCAAGAGTCTCCTCGCGAACATGGTCGCTGGGAACCGTTACGAGCTGAAGATCCGCACTGACAAACGCGAGGGGGCGCCCCCCACCCAAGCCGAATGGGTCGAAGACGAGGGGTGCCGACGGACGTACTATGCCGTCTACATCTTCTTTGGGCTCTTGACGCTGTCTTTTAACCACACGCCGGCCATCAGCTTCAACGAGTTCGAAGACTTGGAGCTGCCTTCGACCGAGGAGATGTGGAATCTGCCGACCGTCGACGATGCGACGTGGTCCGAAAAGCTCGATTCCGCGAGCGCCCCCTCGTTCATGGTGGCGCACGACAACCTCTTCCAGGGCGAATCGTTGCGCTACAGCGCTTTCGCGACCCGCGTCATGATCAACGCCCTCTTCCTCGAGGTGTGGTACCACAAGCGCAGTCCCGAGGCGCTTCAAGATGTGGTGACGGAATACAAGCTGCGTCTGGCGTTGGAGACGTGGGAGAAATCACTTGATCTGTGTGAGCCGGAGATGGCTTCCGTCCCTCTCAGCGCGCCGCACAAGGGCCACCCGCTCATCTTCAACGCGATGGCCATGTTCCGAAACGCGCGGGCTCGTCTGGAAGTCGACCTCAAATCCATCCAAGAGGTGCTGCGATACCACGACTCGTACGAGGTGGCCGCGGCCATGTCGGCTGCCCAGAGCAAAGTGAAGCGATCCAGTGAGATGATCAAGGTCATTCAAGAATGCTACAACTGCATTGAAACTGCAGCTGTCCAGGGCATTCGGTGGGTTGCACGCACCTCGCCCACCAACTGGAGCATCGAGCACCCCCTCTGTGGTCTTGATCTCATGGTCATCCTCAGCTTGTGGCTTTATCGTCTGGAAAACGACGAGACGGAGATCGCAACCGAGGAGGAAACCGCCATGTACCACAAGATCAGGTCGCTGTTCGCTGATGACGCGGTCGAGATTGAGAATACCACTCTCAGCTCCACCGTTGCGCGGATCTGGGGAAGTATGCTCGACGAGGTTGTCGTCTGGGGGTAAGACGTTCCACTCCCACCTTCAAGACGCGTCCCGCTGACATTCGCTTAGCATCACCAAGCTCATGGGTGAATCCTTCCGATTCCATGGTCAAGCCCTGTGTGGCTACCAAGATGACATTGAAGGCTCTGACGTCTCCACGCCTTCGATGATCTCTCAAGGCCCGGACGACAATGACGATAGCGTGTATTAAAATCGTCGCTCTTTCTCTGCCCCTAACGATTTCCATGATTTTTCCTTGGTCTTTCTTTGCATAGACTCTGATATCCGGCTCACTCCATCTCCTCGCGCGCGCGATAGTTTTTTAATATCTCTTTTTTTTTTCTTTTTTTTTCTTTTTGCGTGTTACACTTGCATATAGCGATTTACAGGCTCTGTTATCTGATGGCAGGAATTATGCTGGCAGGCAGAAGACATTCCCAGAGAAATAAGGTCACGGGCAACAATACGGGGCTGGTTGGTCTTGGTTTTCGGGTTGGCTGGGTCTGGCTTGGGGCTGGGGCAGCATTCGGGGATCTTTATCATTGCTCGTTCTCTCTCTCTCTCTCTCTCTCTCTATCTCTCTCACTTTCCTCATATACCATCTCCTCACGGCGCGCTTGTCATCATCATTGCGGTTACGGCGCACCTCCTACTTAATCACGCACACTTGGCTGGCCCACCTCATACTGTTGGTTCTGCCCCTGTCCTATTAGCTGCTTTTGGGCTGTTTTGAGAAAATTGGCTGCGCTCGGGTTTGTTCTTTTCGTTCTTGGGAAGCATATCACCTACTAATAGTCGATTTTATATCCTCTCTTCTCCTCGTCATCAGATACCTTGTTCGATATACAATCTTGCTTCCTGCCTTTGCCTGCTTGCGAGTTTTGTCTCCTTTTCCCCCCCTCACTTTCTACTGTATCTAGTGTAGGGAGGGCATGAGGTACCCGGGGGGAGGGATACAAGGATTGGCCGGTGATTGTTACATTTTGGTACGAGGAGGGGCGTCTTGGAAGAGGAGAGACGTACAGAGTCTGTCGTTCTCGAAGTGTATAAATAAATAGTCAATTGATACTTTTACAGATGGTAGCCACTTTCGCTGTCTCTTGTGTGGGGGTGAAGCGACTTGGGTTTGATGTTGAAGTCCGAATGATCGTTGGCAGCGACTTCTTGCATTGGTAGTGATTGTCCGACAACTAACTGCCTAGATCAATCGTGCTCAGCCGGTTCTCAACGCTTGATGCACAGGATTCTGCACACGACGGCTCGGTACCTACCCCTCTGGCATTTCCGTATATACACATACATACACATACATACACATACATACACATACATACCGTACGATCCCATCTTATCCCATTCTATTCCACCCCTCTCGACCCACCCCTCTCGACCCATCCCATCCTATCCATCCCCTCTCGACCCACCCCATCCCATCCTATTCCACCCCTCTCGACCCATCCTATCCTAGTCCACCCATCCACCCATCCTATTCCACCCTATCCATCTCATCCATCCCATCCACCCCTCTCGTTCCGACTTGACTTTCTAGACTTTTGCTCGCGCCTAGCTAGGTTTCTAGGTTTCTAGGTTTCTAGGTGCTTGCTTGCGTTCGTGACTGCGTTCGTGACTGCGTGCTTGCTTGCCTAGGTGCTTGCGTGCGTGCGTGCGTGCTTGCTTGCTTGCGTGCTTGCGTGCTTGCGTGCTTGCGTGCGTGCGTGCTTGCTTGCTTGCGTGCTTGCGTGCGTGCTTGCGTTCGTGCGTGCGTGCGTGCCTAGGTGCTCGCTTATGGGGCGCTTTAGTTCTGAGTTGCCGGTATGTATGTATCTGTTTGCTTGCTTGTTTGGATGGTGGTTGGTAGGTGGTTGGTGAGTTGGGTTGGTTGGTTGGATTGGTGGTTTGGTGGTTTGGTGGTTGGATGGGTGAGTGAGTGGGTGAGTTGGTTAGGGTGGTTTGGTGGTTGGATGGGTGAGTGAGTGGATGAGTGGATAGGTGGATGGATTGATGCATAGTGGGTGGATGGGTGAATGGATGGTGGATGGGTGGGTAGACGAACGGATTCATCACCATCAAGCGGCTTCCAAAACGCAATACAACGCAACGCAACGCTTGGATTTAGGACCTCTTATGAGGTGCGGCGACGTGTTTAGCTAAGGATTTGTAATGTGTAAGAAGGGTTTGGGGAGCTTTGAGAAGTGCTGCGGCGAGGGATGTTGTGTTTTTTTTTTTTTGATGGGTGGGAGGGTGGATTTATTACCGTTCGTCAAGCGGCTTCCAAAACGCAATACAATACAACGCAACGCTTGGATTTTAGGCCCTCTTATGAGGTGCGGCGACGTGTCCAGCCAAAGAATTACCTATAAAGCACCTACCATCCATCCAATCGAGAGTCCAAAACCACGTCCAGGAAAAAGAAAGAAAGAGCTCTCTCCCACACAGCCGGGCCCGGGTCTCTGATCCCCCCGGTACCATCGCATAACCGGTGTAGCCCGTAAAGCAATCTCAGGTTGGTACGGTACAGCGCAGCTGCGATCGATCGATCGATTATGCCCTTTCTCTTACGGATAAGATGGGATGGGATGGGATGAGATGGGATGGGATGGGATGAGATGGATCCGCTGAAAAGATATAATATATATACACCTTCATCGAAGAACCCCCCCCTGAAAAAGCAAAGTCCAGCGTAACTATAACTAACGCACACCGGTATCGATCCATCATCGAGCTAAATTCGAAGCCGCACCGCAGTCAGCTAGCTAGCTAGCCGAGTAGTAGTAAGTACCTAGCCTCTTCAATCGAAAGCGCAAGTCTGAGTCTGATACCCCTTCTTCCTCTCTTCCTATCTTCTCTCTTTCTTCGTTGCCAATCCTCGGTATTTTCAATCGGTTGGCTCGTCTAGTGTAGATTGTAGTCGGCGTGGTGGGCGTGGTGGGAAGAAGGAGAAGGAGGAGAAGGAGGAGAAGAAGAAGAAGAAGAAGAAGAAGAAGAAGAAGAGAAAAAAGAAATGAAAGAGAGCTTGGAATAGCACAGTACAGTACAGGATCGCATGGTATAGTATCGTATGCAAAATGACGAAGAGAGTGTTACCAGGGACCAGTGAGAAAGTGTGATTGATGGTAATAAGGCGGGAATGGGGGCGGAGATACAGTAGTGAATACTAGGTGGTGGAGAAATCTCTTACCCTTCCCTTCTCTTCATTCCCCTCCACCTTGGACGCAAATCAGTACTATTTACTTACTACTGACTACTGACTACTGACTACTCCCCCTCCACCTATTCATTGACCTGCATCCGATCCATCTCCGTCCCAAGGCCACACAGGTGGAGTCGGGCCCGCAAGCGAGACGAGGAACTGCGTGCCATGTCATCTACCGTACTACGTCCCTATACCCGTACACAGCTTGTACATGAGTGACACGTCCAAGCGAGCGAGCGCTGCAGCCGCAACAAACAGACCACCGACCGCATAAAAACCTAATCACCAAATATTGAAGAGAATTGGCAACGGCAGAGCGTGGGATCGTGGTACGGACGGTACATGCCGTACATGGTCTGCCGTGCCACGCCGTGCCATGCATCTATGCATCTATATACAGTATGTAAAAGGCGGAGGAAGGGGGTGGGGGGTTATTTTTGATTTTTGATTACAGGTTATTATGTGTACTAACTAGCTCGCACGCTTCGTATGTGTCTACAGGATTTACCTCTCTTCTCTCTTGGTGCTAGCTATGTTTTTCATCGTGTTGCGAATGTACTTCGTCTCACTTGCTACAGACATCGCTACCGGTACATGTATCCTATCGTACTGACTGTATGGTAGATAGTATGCTGTGTTTGTTTGTACCTTGTTGGTTTTTTTTTTTTGGTTTTTTTTTTTTGGTTTTTTTTTTTCTTTTTCTTCGTGAGTCCCGTTCCCAGCCCCACCTCGCTTAGTAGAGGGGCCAGGGTCGTCAACCTCCTCTACTGGTAGAACGTGTGCTGCGCGTCAAAGTACTGTACTTATTGACCGCGCTCAAAACTCAATGTCATCGCGAAGAGCTTCAAACTTTTTCTAGAAAAGTCTTACACTTTTCATCTATCATATCGTCACAGCGTGCCATGGAATCAGGAATAAATCAGAGATCGTGGTGGTGTTTGATTTAGAAAATCTCGATTCAGAGCTGAAGGCATGTCCCTTGTTACTCAGGCGCCTCAGGTGAAGTTCACGGGATAGTGATAATGAGCGCGATTACGAAGATTGATACCTACCGGTACCGTCCCTAGTGGATGAGAAATCCTGGTCACTTACGAATCTGATAAGGATTCCTTGTCGATTACGAAACCGATAAGAGTTTAAGAGCATCTGATAAGGGATCCTTGTTAAGGATTTAAGAAAATCTGATAACGAATCCCTGCTCAGGATTTGGGAGAATCTGATAAGGATCTGTGGTTGGAAGGGGATTCGGAGGTACAGCGGTTAGCTTTTCCGACCCACTACGGAAAATAGCTTGATCGAGCAGTACTTTGATACTGTACGCATGACGCGTTCAGCGATACGAAGCGGGGGACCGTAAAGGTATTCCTCGATTCAGCTAGTTTCCCCAGGGGGTCGGAGAACATGACTACTGTACCTCCGTAAAGCTGTGGTTGGCATTTCCTCCTTCACTTGATCATGATGCTACTTACTACTGTAGAGAGCTTTAGCAGAAATCTGCAAGTGAAGTGAATTTTGGCAGGTTTTGTGCAAGGGGCGTTGCATAACACTATTACCAGAGAGGTAAAGAAAGCTATTTGTTGTATGGGGGGCACTGAAAGCTCTGAGTAAGCCAAAGTGAGCTAAAAGCTGTTATACTCTCCGTAATGCCGTACTTTTCAGCTCCATTCGAATTCGATGTAGCCCACTTGTCGTTTAGCCCACTGGTCGTTGAGATTGAGATCCTTTGTAGGTACTCCGTCGGAAAATTAGTAAGACAATAGTCCAGCAACCTAACCGAGTTGAGAAGAGATCTCAACTTGCTCGTGGTTTGCACGACGTGCACCTACTACTACCTGCTCGCTCTTCTGGATGTAGGTAGCTTCGATCCAATAAAAACGTTAGAGTTTTCATCGAGAGGTTAGAGTTTCGGGGCTCCCTTCTCAAAGGAGCGGAAACCTGCAGATTCCACTTGCAAGTCGACCTGCAGAATTCTGCTAAAGCTCTCCACCATCACTTTCATCCACAGTATCAAACTAGAAGTAGTATTCTGGCAAGTTGGCATGCCCAAATCCTCGTCCCGTCTCTCTTCCGAAGCCAACAGGCTCTGTGCACTTCGCTACACCTAGATTTGGCCTCAGGGCGATCTAGTGAAACTCAGAATCCATTCAACGCGGTTGTGGGTCCGGACCTGGACTCACGAGTCAGGAGGAGATGCTGCCGGAGGTTGCGTGGGAGTGAATCGGCTGTTGTGTGCAGAGGGCCAAAAGGCTTGGTCAATTGCATCTTTGAACCTCTCTTTTCCTCTGCTCTCCTCTCCTCTCCTCTCCTCTCTTATATATATACATCCAAATTATAGCAAGAACCTACTCACATTCCATCCAGGGCCCTCTCGTCTATTCAGTCTTACTCCCGTCTTTTCCTACAAACGAAATACGTTCGAATTATCGTCATCCAAGTCTCGTATACGGAGGTACAGCGTTTCTCCTTCCGTATCCTTTACTCTGCATACTCTGGATGTTCTCTGTATGCCTGCATACCCGTCAGCGTTGCAGTTTGGCGCCGGCCAAGACAGATGCCTCCGTGATCGGGAATCTAAATACTTACACCCACCTAGGAAGAAAGAGTATTCACCCATGACAGCCGCTTTTGAACCGAGCGATAATCGGTTGATGCGATGGTCACGTACTTTGAGGTAGATATACGCAAGTCGGCATCCGGAGGAGCAAAGAGGCATTTGTATTGCTACTATCGAGATTTCATCTTTCAAATCAAACTATAAATAGCAATCAACATTCTTTTTCTCTGCTCTCTGTTCCTCCAAGTTTAGATCGCTCGCCTTTTATATATTTACCTATTTGGTTTCAAGCAAAGTCACTTGCACTCACTTTGTTCGCGTGAACCATAATCTTCTGATCACGGTCGAAAAAAGTATATAAAGTATCGAAACTCGCAATATACGAGGATACTTATAAGCGGGAGCGAGAATGCTCAAGGAAATATATATATATATCGCTGCAATTCGCTCAATAATAACAACCTTTTTACATCCGTCCAGATAAACGAATGCAGATGGCGAGCCCTCTCTTTCATCATTCGCCTACCGGTAGTCACAATTACTACTATAACTGCTCCTCCCCGATCCCAGTCAATAGCAGCGGCTGCTCCCGCACAGCCCTATCGTTACTCTCCCCCTTTCTCCTAGTGCAGTACATACAGAAAGCCAGCATATATTCAGGCGATCCTCCTCCCTATCCAAGCCTTTATACATACATACATACATACATACATACATACATACATACCGAGACCAGAAAACACGCGCCGCCGACGAACGAACACCAGCACAAGAGCATCCTAGCCCTCTAGTTCAATCACGACGACAGGAATAGAGCCGAGAATGAACAGCAAACACAAGCAAGTCTTCGACACCATCAAAGGATTTTCTGACGCACGATACAGTCCGTCCCTCACCCTACTGATTGCATGTTACCTAGCGATATCACATCAGTTCCACCCCTCTCTTCAATCAGTATTGACTTTTAAGATTTCGGAACCCATTCCCGCGGTCAGGGGAAACAACAGTAGAAGCACCTCTGGCCCTACGTCAGAACTGGGGTTGCTATTTGCGCGTCCACCTCTGAAGAAGAGATTGCAACCTCGTGCGTCCAGAGCACGCGCGCCGCGGTGTGAACTCTATTCCCATCCAATCCTACCGTTTCCTCCTAAAGCCCTGGCTATATACCCCGTGCTAAGCTTCCAAGTTATATGCAACCATAAGTACTTGTTTCTAGATTCAGATTTGATAAGTTCCTGGGATAATTGGTCTATTCAGGCGCTCTGTAATAGACTCCGACGAGGGTAGTCATTAACAGCATGTATACCGGTAGATGGAGCGCCTGAAGGCTTCATGGATCTAGTACCTAGCTCAGTGCCGTCATTATTGTTGGTCCTTGGTGAAAGGTATAAGATCCCGACGTCGAGCACACGCATCAGCCAGTCTAACCCAGGGGGATGATTCTTCGTTGACGCAAGCGAGCAAGACTCTTTCTTCTACGCAAGAGGACACAAGTGTAGGTATACTTCGAACTGCACAAATCACGCTTCTCCGCTCTCGTAAGGTCCGCATCGAAGGCCAAGCGAGATGTGATGATCAGAGTGTCACCCACGGTCTAGGTATAAAAGCGCAGCGCAAGGAAAGGGATACAGGAGAATGGAAGTACGCAAATCTTTGCATCGCGTGCCCGCAATGTACATACAGCAAGGAAATGTATGCGGTAGGCTGCACGTACGTAGAGGTGACGGACGACCCCAGAGCATATAAAGGGTGCTGCTTTGTCGAGCATGCGGTAACTCCACAAGAGGTACGAAAGAGGAACTGTCCTGATTTCGTCCATGTCTCGAATAGTACCAAGCGTGTCGACGTATAAATCTTCCACTCTTGTAAAGCTGCAAGGAAGGCATCTGTCCAATTATAGCCCCGTCGAATTTATAAATCGCAGCATAGTCCCGTCAATGATAACCAACGACTTAAACACAGGGATTACGCGGACATTGGACATGGAGGACCGGGAACAACCTCATCCATTGTACACTACTAGAGCTCATCCATAGCTCGCGTAGATTTTTAAAACCTAAACCTCACCCGAACTATGGATGTGCTCTACTCGTGAACAATTCATAAGCTACCGGTACTCCCTCACGTGGGAGGACGTGGAGCTGTTTCATTCCGGGCCACCTGTCTCACATAACGCATACTGCACATACCTACTACATCTACTACAGCTACCGGTACACGAAGCCCCGAACTAACATCCGAGATTCAGCACGCGCATCGGAATGACAAGTTGAGAATAGCACCTGAAAAGCACACAACAATAAGTAGAATTAAAGAACCAAGGGTGCCGTAATAATACCCCCTGAATTAAGCGAGCGCTGTTTTCATCTCGTAAACAAGATTTTCTCATCTTACGCCTACCGGTTCTCTTCCCGCCACGGTTTGGGATGCAGATCACGATCTAAATTGCGAACTAGTAGACTCCACTTTAACGAACTCCGGATATAGATTGCTGAGATGGCCTCTGCCGGCAGATATCTACCATGGGATTGGTTAGCCGGGATTGTCCATATTCTGTTCTGAGATCACGGGTCTCGGGTTGAAAAAAAAAAAACGATCAAATAGCTATTCCTACTTTTCTATCCACGATAGTGGTCGTCCCCGCTTGGGAATAGAGATGTATAAAAAGCATAGATCTTTATCTGGATTAAATTAAATAAAGCTTACGGTATAACTCCTTCAAGAAATCAGGTTCCAGCCACGACGCATTCTGCACTTTGATCTGTTGGGTACCAGCCGAGGATTTTTCCATGCTAGTAGAGAGATTGACAGAGTGAGTGAGATGCCCAGGGTCCGAAAGCCGTCTACGGATCGGAAAAGAATGATGTTGTCCGCCCCAGTACGCAGTTGACGGACTCGTTTCTGCGGCGATCCTCGGTGCGAGCGGTTCACAGCTGGTGATGGGATTAGGGTAGCCTGACTACATATCTTTGCTTGGGGCCTGCTAGCATTTCGCTATGCCGGGAGATCTCAGATGTCTATTCAGATAATCAGACTCGGTATTAGATTGACTAGTTTGCTTCGCAGTAAAGTTTTTTTTTGGGGGGGGGGGGGGGATGCAGAGAAGCAGGCTTGACTACTCAAGAGCGGATACTCTGATGACTGATATATCAAACAGAGAAAGAGGAAAATTTCAGCACATTGGACTTGAGTGACTGAGTAACAAACAGCCCCGACTCGACCCCAGCCCGTAAAATCGGAAAGGACTCCAGGGATATTACATCTTTTGAAGGCATTCGGAGAACGTCGAGGTCATCATCCGTAGCGGAGTGAAATGGCAAGCAAATATGTCCAAGCTGATAGAGTCACGGCCAAACGCCTCTAGACTCTAACGTCATCTCCTACGCTTGATATCGCCTGCAGTCTTTCCCGCCGGCGCATACACAGTGCTTGGCGGATGAACCAGGCGGCAACAGCGCAGATGCGCTCGCATCCACGAACTCCCAGCCTCCGCACTCCATAAACCCCCGCCCTGGAGTCGACAACAGCCAGACTACGGTATCCTCCGCCATCCCTACCGTACACGTACAGCTCGCATGGTGAGGCTGTATCGCCGTCTCCCTGTTATATACACCACCCAGTCTCGCCGTCCGTAGCAACGTTCTTCCCAGGCGCGAACTCCGGCCCGGCCACGACGCCGGACATGGCGGGCGAGGACGAGATTGCGGGTTACCAGGTCGGTAGTTCCGAATGGGATGTAATCCCACGTGTTTTGGCCCAGGCCGCAAAGCTGCGAGATGACAGGAAATGTCTACACCTGAGAGTATTTGGGTTGGGCCAAGGCCCGACAGCATGAGGAGCTTGGGTGACCGGAGAGCGCCGGCTGAGAGGATGGCTTCTTTGGTGGCTGACAACGTGTAGTAGTGATCGCCTTGTTTCACCTGGACTCCAGTCGCGGGTTTATCTGACGAGAAGAGCATCCTCTGGCCATGGTGTGCGTGTATACTTGCAAGGTCGTAGTATCTATGGCTCGGTGCAGGCAGCTGGTCTGAGACTAGAATCTGTGCTCATTCACGGGATTTCAGTGTACTCGGTTGGAATTCGAGCCTTTCAGATACCCGGACGAAAACTCATCGTGGCTAGCGGAAATGCCCACAGCTGCAAATCCATTCTTGAACCAGCTAGCGACGGCATCTGACCACTTCAAGTAAGAGACTGAGGTGTTCCATTTAGTGAATCGTTGAAGGCCGAGGGATTATAACCAGGTGTGATATTCGCGAATCGCGTCTGGTATCTGGCGGCGTGAAATAGGCTAAGCGTTGGAAGTAAGGCGTCAAGTTCTCGAATGTGTAACTTTCATCGCCCACATCATTCGCCCACACTTGATAGGAGTCGATTGAGCCCCTGGTAGGTATATAAGAGCTAATCTATAGTTCTCAGAACCCAGGTTTACCTACTGGTGATAACCCATGTAATTCAAAGCAGAGCTCCCACCCAGCGTCTTACCCTTCGACGACAGCGACGAGGATACGCAAAGAGTTTAAGATTGGGTTTTGGGATGTTTGTATTGAAGCGAGGATCCATTGTGGGCATGGTGATGGGTTCCCGAGGGGGGAGGGTAATTATCGAGAACAAACGAGGGCCGAAGAATAAACAAAGGTGGAGAGTCCCATGGGTATATACACAGCACGCGAAAGTAAAATGGCGAGGCTTCCAGCAGACAAAGCTAGTTCGTGTGGTGATGAGGTCTCGTGCTAAATTCGTGGTTTGATGATCAGAAAGCTTGTGCTACAGGATCAAGAACTAAGAAGGGGTATTATCATTTTGGTGCAACGATGAAAGGAATCCCCCCCAGGCAATCTCTGCATATTGTTGCTCTCCCACTTGTCTTTGTAACCCCCATTGCCAGTCCCTACATCAATTCCCTGATGGTAGAGCCTTCTTTGCGCTGCGGAAATCGTTAACTTCTAAATCATGGTCGCTCCGGAGTCGCCTTCGTCACTGTCTGCGAATTCATCTCGCCTATTCTCGCTCTCTTCTGCCTCTTCATCCTCGCCTTCAACGTCCGCGTCTGGGGTATTTGTGTCATTGAGTTGCGAATCATCTCCGTTGCCTCTGTTCCTGTCACCCTTTTCTTCAGGTCCGGCTGCTCCACCTCCTTCAACGACATTCTCCCCTCCATCCTCGTTGCTGGTCGATAGTTGATCGCCGGCACTTGGTTCACCCGTCGCAACATCTTGACCTCCAATTTTTGCCGCTGGATCAACCTGTCTATCGACTTCAGGCTTTATCTTTTTCCGCTGCAGTTTCGTCAACTTGGGGTCTTGTTTTGGCGTTGAAAGGCGGGGCTTCTTTGCGCCAGGCAGGTTTGGCATGACGAATTTTTTGATCCTCTCAGCTCGATACTTGTGGCTTTTCTTGAGCATCTCCCATTTGACGGTACCTTCTGCTTCAGTGGGTTTCAACGTTACTTTCTTCTGAATGTCATCAAGGTCAGCCTTCGAGATGCCTAGGTCCGGTAGCGGCACTGATATCTGCTTGCTTAATCGACCTGAGACTACATCCGGGATTTTGAGAGTCTCTGCGAATGCCTCATCTGGAATAGCACGCTGAGATCTGATAGCAATGAGAGTCGTCTTCATGATAGCTTTGAACTTAGCGATAGTGCCGTTGCAGTACCAACCATCAGTTTCCGGCTCGCACACCTCGCGGTAAGGCGCATTTTCCATGAGACGCTGTAGAATGGGAACCTTAATGTCACAGACCTGCCATATCTTCCCGTCGAGAGTCAACTTCTTCCCGTCGAAAACATGAGATCCTTCGCTAGCCATTTGCACTCCTCTCAATTTCGACATGTTGGTGTAGTTTTGGCGGGAGTCTAACCATGGTGCGCCCTGGATCTTTTCATCCTCTGCAATAATCTGGAAGAAGAATGTTTGGTACTCGCGATACTTGCGGTCGGCTCGTGGATCGAGACCAAATTTGATGAGGGCATCTCGCCATGGGCCGCCTCGGAATTGGTAGCCGACAAAGGGGAGAGCTTGCTTGAATAGGTAGAGCCCGGTATTTCCTCCGATACGGTTTGCCAAGGAGCGCCTAGTCCAAATCGGCCTCTCTGCCAGCGCCTCCTTCAGCTTGCCTATCAACAGATGGAGCTCATCTGAATCCTCCGGCACCCGATCTGGTCCGCTAGGTACGCTATCGACATCCCAGCCAAGATACTGCACACCTCCTCTTCCTGGTTTGGACTTGTTCAGGAGTTTTGGCTTGCCGTGTTCATCCAGCGTTTCTTCGATCTGTGAAGCTTGATGCCACCCCCAGTTGAAAGGTAAAGCGTGACTCGACATTATCGGGGGCGGTACCAGTTCCTCGTTGGTCTTCCAGCCTTTGCTGGGATTGAACTTGAACTTACGCATTTCTTCGAGCCGGCCCGTGAGCATTGTGTCTTCGAATTTTGGAATGAACTCCGTATGACTCGTAGACTGATGGAAATCGGCCATCCCTCGTGACCATTAGTGACAAGCTAAGGGCGTACACGGATACTACTCACCTCGGAATCGATGAGTTTGTCGAACCTCGCCCACTGCCTCAACTTGATACTTACCCACATTGTCCTTGAGTTTTCGCAAAAGCTGGGAAGGATTGTCCATTCTCGAATGAGATCGTAACGTATCTGCCGGTGGATTTGAGACAGAAGGCTGAGTGGCGAGGCTGGGTGTGGTATCCAAGGGGGAATCTGTAGAAGCATTTGCAACATTGCCATTTGCGTATGGTTCCTGTGAGCCTCTCTTGCGCTTTCGTCCTGTCCGCTTTGGAACGGTGATCTTGAGAAGAACGTTGTTCGTCGGAGCGTTACGAGACAAGATTGGAACGCACATTGGATCTTCATGGCGGATGTAGAGCGGGATGCTCTCCTCAGGGTCGACCGAGTCCAATATCTGAGATGTGTGAGTGGTTGAATATCAGGGGGCACTTTTATCACTAGTCACGAGACTAATACAATCCGCGTGATCTAGGGCTGGGTGGGAAGACTTGCCCTCTTGAAAGGCCGGTTTCTACCAAATGTTTTCATAGCTTTGTCCAGGTTTTGGACGATCATAGGATGCTCGACGGCGGTTATCTCTCTTGGGGCGATTTGATAAATCGGTGCGGTCGTTGGCTTCCTGGAAGCAGGGCCTCTATTTAGGACGGGCATCTTGACCAGAGAAATACCCGTAGATTTCCCGAGGATGCTTGCAGAGGTTGTCGATGTATGTTGTTTTGCTTCGAGATGTTTAGCGGACAGCTTCTAAGCAAGATCCAATGCTTGGCACTAACAAATCACGTGACATATTGCTAGACCAGTTTGGTCCTAGCGTAGGGGCCTGGAGTGGAGGGGAGGGGAATGGCAGCCAGGCCAGGCCAGTCAGTTCGGGAGTAGTTGGATCGAACGCTACCCGCCCGCTCGTCCTCGTCGTCGCCGTCGCCGTCACCCTCACCGTCATCGTCGCCGTCGCCCATTGCCCCGTTCAGTATTATCGACTGGAATCGAACCTTTCTTCACCTTTGCATCCACTGCCTCATTTCTGCCCCACAACCTTGAGCTGGAGCCGGACGCGTGGGCTTTCTTGTTGAGTCTTACTCACTCAGAGAGCGGGCGGTATTCCATCCTATCCACCGCCCGAGCCCATTAGCACCGTATCGTGCACGAGTTTACAACAGTCAGAAGAACGAGGCTATTCGGATTCAGAGCTGCTGTGATTGTCTGGTACGTGCGTACCCTTTCGTGGGCGTTGGATTGTTATTTACATTACGGCCAGGCCAGTGCGCTGACCAGCACTTCTCTTAATGCAGATCCCTCCAAGCGCGACAGCAACGCAACCTCACCGTCGACTCGATTCCAGCGGCGAATACCTCGCAGGCATACGATTTATCGACGTGTAAGGATAGTAAAAAAGGCCCTGACAGCGTATCCGCGGTCGCCACCCTCTCTCTCTACGCTCAGCCTCGTGCTCGAGCTTGAGAGGTCAACAAACGGCCCAGCCCGACCCGCACTTCCACCACCAGTCGGCGCCGGCAACAGACCTCAAACTTCCTTGGATCCCACGAGCTCCTCTCCATTTTGCGCTCGCGACGCGCTCCTTTTCATCTCAACTTCAGAATACCTCTATTTCCCAACCTGCAACCGGTCGGATACCTTTCTATGCCATTGCCCGACTTCCGAATACGCCGCCGCCAACAGCCATTTGTGTCTCTCTCTCACGGCGGTCTGATCTGCTGGGGTTCTGGGAACACTGTGCGGCCTATTGAATCACATAATTAGAATCAAAGACCCCAACCGACGCTCAAGATGAAAGGCTTTAGGCAGAGGGTTGTAAGTGTTCCTGCAATTTTATCAGGCAAGCGCTGCAGCCGCACGCTGATTTTAATGACCACTATGCTAACCCAACCAGCATGAGCAGCTCTCGCGCGCAAAAGACCCAAACAAATCTTCCAAATCCAAGAATAAGGAATCGAAAGATGGAAGCTCGTCCCCGTCGCAAGCTGGATCGTCTAGAGAAGCTGCCCAATCTCCTATAACAACACCTTCCTCTTCAACAACTGCGCTGAACGACCCAAGAAACAAGCCCCTCCCTAGTGATGGTGGGCCGAATGCGTTATCCAGTCCTCTTCCACAAGTTGGAGGAGTGTCTTTAAACCCCGGCCTTGTGGCTCCAGATCGGTTCAATGCCATGGGAGGTGGTTCACCAAGTGCTGGCGGACCCGGAACTCCAACTCGGCATGGACTGCCTCCAAGTGTGGTCATTAGCCCGAGTGCTCCCGTAAGCTTTCCTCCTAGCTAACCCAAAATGTACGTCAAATTGACTGTCTATAGCATATCCCTCCCCCAGGCTCAGCCGAGACGATGCCACACGATCTCGCCCCCCCGAAAGCGGGACAGAAATCATTGATGTTCGACCGTTTACAAACAACCCCAAAGGATGTCCCTGAAGGAATCAGAACCCCCAAGAGACAGCACTCCTCCCGATTCGATATTTCTCCACAACGAGAACTCGAGAAGCTGCCCGGCTTCCATGAAGTACCGCCAAACCGCCGACAAGATCTGTTCATGCAGAAAATCGATCAGTGCAACGTCATATTCGACTTCAACGATGCTAGCGGAGACATGAAGTCCAAGGAGATTAAGAGATTGGCACTGCACGAGTTGTTGGACTATGTGGCCAACAACAGACAGGTCATTACGGAGGCAATGTACCCAAGGGTTGTGGACATGTTCAGTAAGAACCTCTTCCGACCCATTCCACCTCCGATGAATCCCCAGGGGGAAGCCTTCGATCCAGAAGAAGACGAGCCAGTTCTTGAGGTGGCGTGGCCCCACATACAGGTCGTCTACGAGTTCTTCTTGAGATTCATCGAGAGCCAAGACTTCAATACCAATATTGCCAAGGCATACATCGATCACAGTTTCGTCCTGCAACTTCTCGAGCTATTCGACTCTGAGGATCCCCGTGAGCGCGACTTTCTGAAGACAACTCTCCACAGAATCTATGGAAAGTTCCTCAACCTCCGGTCATATATTAGGAGATCTATCAACAACGTGTTCTTCCAGTTCGTGTACGAGACGGAAAGATTCAACGGAATTGCGGAGCTTCTTGAAATCCTTGGTTCCATCATCAACGGTTTCGCTCTCCCTCTCAAGGAGGAGCACAAGCTATTCTTGACCAGAGTGTTACTGCCACTTCACAAAGTCAAGAGTCTGAGCATGTATCACCCTCAACTTGCGTACTGCATAGTTCAATTCCTGGAGAAGGATGCTGCGCTTACAGAAGAGGTATGTAATATGCGATGAATTGAGGAGTCAAGCTAACAGAAACAGGTGGTGCTTGGTCTGCTTCGATATTGGCCCAAGGTCAACAGCACGAAGGAAGTGATGTTTCTGAACGAAGTCGAGGATATCTTCGAAGTCATGGATCCTGCCGAGTTCGCTAAAGTCCAAGAGCCCCTCTTCCACCAACTCGCCAAATCTGTAGCCAGTCCCCACTTCCAAGTCGCCGAGCGGGCATTGTACTTTTGGAACAATGAGTACTTCTGCAACCTGGTCAGCGATAACGTCGAGATTATTCTCCCGATAATGTTTGCACCTTTATACGAGAACTCGAAGGGACATTGGAATAGGTATGTCGGCCCATTCCGAATCGGTGTCGTTACTGACATTCCACAGGACAATTCATGGTATGGTCTACAATGCCATGAAGCTCTTTATGGAGATCAACCCCCAGCTGTTCGACGACTGTTCGCATGACTACACTGAACACCAAAATAACGCCGAAGCTCGCGAGAAAGCCCGAGAGAATAAGTGGAAGGCTCTTGGTGAGCAGGCCTCGCGCAGCAAGGCCAATGGTACCCGCCCAGCCGCGGTCAGCGTCTCATCATCGCGATCGAAGATGGCTGACGAGCTGGACCCAATGACGGAGGATAACCAGAAGAGGCTGGATGGTCTGAAGCTGGGGCAGGATGGGGAGAGGAGGGAGCGCAGACCTACGCATGATCGGCAGAACTCGGTAGGCTCTTCCAGAAGCCAGCGATAATTATGCCTTCTTTTTGAGCTTGTATTATGCCTGCCTACAGCGATCCATTCTAGTTTTTGCGTTTTCAGGATCGGCATGGCGCTGCTCCTGACGATGGTACGGGGGATAAACATGTGTTTTGTTGAATGAAAGTTTTGTCACGGATAGAAGAAGGCTCGCGCATACCTACCTAGTTTTTCATCCTGATCCATTTTCATGAAAAGCCATACCTTTCGACCGCCTGCTTACTTGCTTGCCTGTCTGTTCTTCCATTTCGTGAAGTCGAGGATCTTCCTCTTTATCCACGTATCCATCCATTTAATTATTAAATCTGGCTCTCTCTCTCTCTCCTACCGCACATTCTTCTAAGAAGGCCGTGGTTGATGCTAACTAGATACTTAGGTCGTCAAGATCGTAGCAGTAGAAAAGGACCTCGATTTCACAAAGCGGCCGAGTGCGACCATATATGCGGAGGATCTAGCTGAACTCGCGCGAATCCTTCTAGCTACGACCGAGGTGACTTACAATATCGGATGGCTCCGAGTCCAGCTCGTCATATTCTGTCAGCTTGCGAGTATCACAGGCAATCGACCGGAGACTCTCGTTGAGCTCCGATATCGACACCTAAAGCTGACCTTGATCCGAAATCCCGATGGTAGCGGTCGTCCTCGTCTCTTTGCTAAACCGACGCCCGGATTCACAAAACGACATCTCGGCTCAAAAGATATGTACGTTCCCTTTCTTTGCTCTAGCTACCTTCGTTTATTTTATTGACCCTTATCAAAAGCGAACTCAAAAACCCCGAGATGATCTACGATCCAACCCTTGCGCTCAGCCCGCACGTCTTCCTCTTCGGTATGCTATTCAAGGCTTGCGCCTTCAAGTCGTCGAGTATTGATTGCCCGGAAAGGTTATAAAGCCTTAGAGATATTTTGAAGTAGGTGCTGTACCCCATCTCAGCTGGCAACCGCCATTTATATAGTTTTGCGCTGCATCTTACTGAAACCTAGATCCGGTAATCGCTGCCTGAAGGCTATGTATGGTACGGGCGCGTGGAGTCTCAACTCTCCAGCGGTTGGTATTGAAACTGGGTGTTTCGGTTCTTCGGCGCTACGGAGTAATGCCAGCACAAGTCCTGTAAGCGCCATGGAGTCCTTCAGCCATCTAACCAGCTGCCCAGCTGCAATCATGTTCGTTCCATCAATCAGGCTGGCGCTCTCACTGTAGCCGCAGACGTCTGAGCTTTGGTATTCGATCCATGGTTCGCACCACAACTGTGAAGCAACGTCTTATTCTCTCCTTCTTACCAACAAGATACTCAAGAGCGCGTTGCAGTCACAGGCAGCGAGCACAGGTGCGTTCCTGCTAGTAAGCATACGTCTATGGCTACCTTTCAGAGAGGAAAACTCTTGGTTGGGCTTCGGCATTCCTACCGTCTCGTTAGACCAGCACGTCGGAGGGCTGACAACGTTTGGATCGCCGGCCTCGAGGACGGGCAATCCAGCATGTCACTAACTTTCTATACTCTATTAGACCTACTATGACCTACTGACCTGTCACAGTGATCCGGAAAAGATGGCGAGAAAGACTGCTAGCCAAGTGCTACTACAGAATGTAACGAAACATCTTGATAGACTGCGAGGGAATCGTCGCATTCGGCAGATGGTTGATACTATCGAATCTCCAATGCCAACCGAATATTCGCAAGTTTGGATGATTCCGTTGCTACGTACCAAATCGAGATCGGAGCGACATCACTAGGGGGAAGGGATCAAAAAATGCTCGACTAATAGGTACGGGCATTACCTCTCCCCTTGATGTTGAGAGGCAGGGGCGCGAGTTCCTCTCCGGATTCCGCATGTACCAGTCGACGGCGTAGTACTTGAAAAGCCCCGAAAAGCACGCTGTGACTGCGCCGCCTTCAGAAACCTTCAAATTCTCAGTCCATAATTCAGGGGGGGGGGGTTGCGATGGAATCCTGACATATCATTCATTGAACCCAAAACGAATGCGCCAGCGCGAGGAAGCCCATTTCTGGCTCCCTTCTTACATTTATTTCACTGGCGCCTAGCGTGAGAGCGGGTTCGTCCCTGGCAGCAACGATAACCCACACTGTGATGGCCCTTTCCGAATGCCCACGCGAGTACTGCGCGTCTGAGAGCACCGCCGCGCAACCAGAGACCCAACCGCAGAATTCCGCTCAAGAGGTGTGGCGGTCGACGACGCGACCAAGCGGCCAGCCGGTCTGACGTGGCCCTTTACGGCCTGCCTTCGGGAGGCGGTTGCACTCACGGTAGATGGTAAGCGTGGCGTTCGTCTCGGTGAAGGTCGTGCGTCCTCGTCGCTTGCCAGAATATATCTATCTGAGTCGTTCGGGTTTACAAAGCTCTCACTTGAAAGATCGTAGTCTTCAATGTTGTCAACAAGTAGAAGAGGTAGGTGTTTTATACATGCTTACAGCGTGGATCGATCATCGGTGCTATGATCCTCTTCCAAGATCAAGAAAGTCCAAGGTAGTAGCACAAAAGAGCTTCTAAGCCCGGGATCATTAGTTACGAGAAAAAAGACAAAATGACTTCTAAGCAATCGATCGCTATTAAAAAAAACTCTTGGTTCTGAGAGATTACCATTGTAAAGTAATGCAATCTAATCAAAGGCCTTTCTTTATCTTAGATCTTACCGATTGCCTCTCAAGGCATTGAAGGTTATATAATATATAGCCCGCTCCCCCCTTGAAAAATATACATATCAACATTTGTAGAGTTGATGACTTAAGGTAATGGAACAGGCGAGGTTCACATTTTATATTGGTGGCAGTCGAGTCGATTCGCCATGGCATGGCTTCAACATTCCAATATTCCCTCATAAACCCCTCCCATTCGTGCAGCGTTGGGCACATCACAACGAGACCAATGGGTTTGACTGGTGGTCAAAGAAGAAAACGGGAGGTGAGTAGGACAGTTTTTAATTAGGGTTCTGGGGAGCCTGTATGTATGCTCTGATATGTTCTCTAGGTCTAAGCGGTTCTAAATGCCTTTAATCAGACGCTGTACCCATAGGACATCTTTCCTGGGGCCAGGCTGTATCGGAAATATCAGGCCCAACTTATTTGACATTCAACACAATACCAATAGAAATTCCTGGTCGTTGACTCATTCATAATGTTAGATCTCAGACAGTCAGGTCTCAAACAGTCAGGACAGGTTCTTTTTGGGGTTGATTTTGTGACTGCTTTGAGAACGTCGAATGCAATCTCACCATCCTCCTTGCAAAGCGTCACGAAATCCCCTCGATCACACAGCTGCTTCGCACGTTTCCCGGCAGTCTTGATCGCAACATCTTTCAACAAGCGATCTTTCTCAGGCGTCCCCTCATACAGCAGCTTCAAGCTGGCAACAAAAGAAGCGCTATTCCACTGATCCCCTATGATCTCCTCGAATTTATTCTTGGCGAGTTCCTTGAGCGGCTGAACATCAAGCTGCTCGCCGATGATGTACACCTTGGTGTTGAAGAGGAGCGCGCCTCCGATCTCTGGCGCCGTCTCGGTGGCAGTCAATGCTCCAGCCTTCGTGGCGGCGCCGTGGTCATCCTCACGGCCATCGGGGTAGTCGGAAGTGTACATGAACTTGAGCATGGCCTCGACCACAGCAGGCTCGTTACCGTCCAGGTCGATCTGGCCCGTAATGGCTTCCTGCGCGTCCCAGTTCCAGTTAGAGAGTGTACCAATTGGGAGGGACACGTTATGGGTACCTTGAACTTGCCGTCGATAGCGGCGGCCAGCGGCTTGGACTGCAGGCAGACGACTGCGCGGTGGACGACGAATTCCTTACCGTGGCATGTGATTTTGAGATCGCTGTATTTGCCGCTCGAAAGCATGCTGTTCTCTGTCAGCGTTGGGATATACAGAGGCCGGAAGAAGGGCTTACGTGAAAGTGACTGATGCCATGGTTGATGATAGTGTGCCCAGCGATGGTCAACTGGATGGGAAGAAGAAATTGGAGAAGAATCTCTTCAGATATAGCCAGAAGAGAACAAAGCAAGCCGGTGGAATCCGAATTTCATTTTGCGACGAACAGAAGGCCTGGAAGAGCTGCGGTTATCATAATGCTTTGCCTATCCACTTTCTTTCGATTTAATCGTCTCAGAAGAAAAGAGCAGTGCTTTGTCCCAATATCAAATGGTTGGATGCCTGTCGAGGTAGAAACTCACACGACTTGTAAAGAAAGATCTCATATCTCTATCAATAATGAATAATATAGGCGTGAATTGTTTCAGAGCCACCCACCCTCTGCTCGTAGAATTAACCTTTGACATCTAGCTGAAGTAGGAAGAGTAGGAAACACTGGACGAGGCTTTCGGAGCAAGTGGAGAAAAGTGTCTGATTATTCTAGGAAGCTCAGTGAGACCAACTGAAGTAGAGGAAAAGCTAGTCAGAAGCTCCTAGCGAGCCCTTGATAGTGCCAAGCGAACATATGACCTGCTGCGACATGCGTTTTCTTACCACATGAATATAACTCAATTCTTAAGTCTTTCCGAGGCGTAGTTTCACGAAAATGAATCGCGTCCGTTGACTTACCTAATCGTCGACGCTGAGGACCTCTTATATAGCTATGAAAGAGATATCCTTGACACCGATGCTCTCAGAGCTAGCTATACCATGCAAAGCTGTCGGCTATCGCTCATATAGAAAACATTTTTGCTTGCTTGCTTGCTCGCTGTAGATTGATTGATTGCACTCAGCTGACGCGTGGAAAACCGGATTGCCCGTTTTACTGTGAGGGCTGGAGTGGATGGAGGGTAAGCATTGAGATTTATAAAATGAGAGCTCTCTCAAATCCTCGCCGGCCACTGCTTCATCTAGGACACCTCTGGCTCTGAAGCGCCGCCCATAGCAAGGCGGTTCGAGGTCATGCTTCTATGCACAAGGCGTATAGGTCAAGCAAACACCCGTTCGCAAGACGAGGCTTTAAAGTATGTATGCCACGTTGGGAGTATCATACCATGTGCGAGAAGGATGGCGTCCTTGAGGCCTATATAATGACCACCCTTGCTCCAAAATCGCACAGCAGACAACCAAGACATTTCGGCCTTCTGTCATCCACCCACGACAGGTATCTCGGTTTTGCAAGGGCCCTTCCAGCTGGCCATCATTGGCAAGAGACTGCTACCACGCTTTCCTGCTTTCAACGAAGTGTGCCAGACTGGCGGGAACATGTCACCAGAGAGTGAAGTGTAGGCATCAAGGCCTATATAGCGGACCACCCCTCACTGCGAACGGTCGACATTCTTCCCCTTTATATCAACCTTCGTCGACTTCAACAGCTCCCTGAGACTCCCCTCAGCATGGGACGCACTTCTATTCCTCCCATGGAAGATTCCACCAGATGGAGCAGCACTATTGCTCCACGGCAACCAAGACCCAAGACTTCCAAGGATCGTGGACTTTTCTTCCGCTTCAGGTTTCAGAATCGAAGCTATTGGTTCATTCTGACCCACAGTGGGCTTTGCAGGAACGAATTTCTGGAATGCAGGAGAAAGATGATGGTTAGGTTCAAAGACAGGTCCTCCTTTGGGGTCTGTCGCAGTCGATGCTTGAGGGCGAGCAGGCTCGCTGACCAACGAGTTCGACGATATGAGGCGAGTTGTAGGGTCCTGCTTACAGACTTGGGCATTATCAATGATCATTGATACAAACGATGCAGATTTGGATCGAGCATGTTTTGACAGGCCTTGCGCGGTTGGCACAGCTTCGATGGCATCCTTCGTTTCCGCTTCTTTCGATGCAGCTAGGTTTGCCTTTCTGGCCGCCCTTCCACGGACTCCCTCGGCTATCACAGCAGCAGGCTTCTTGTTCGACTTGTCTTCGTCAGAGGACCTTGAAGACGACATGATGGTTTCGAGAGTTCCATACGCCACAGACCTCGCTCGTCTACCGCCTCGTCTCCCAACATGCTTGGGCGGGTCCTCGTCCGAGACGATAGCTTGCAAGGTTGGACCACCAGCGACTGCATTGGGACCTGCTCCAGCCCCGATGGTCTGCAAGACCGGCTCCCCATGTCCATGTGGCGGCATGTGGACCTCATACTGGTTACTGAGACTGTACTTGCTCCTGGCACAAATCTCCGCGATCCGCTCGAGATCCTCGGCAACACCATGTTTAATCTCCTCCATGATCCCTTTGAAGGTAAACGCCTCCACAGGCGGCATCTTCAGTTCCATCTTTCCAGAAGCCATCGCTGCAAAGCCGCTCACTCTATTCACCGTGACCAGGTCCCGTTGCTTCGGACGGGGACGAGCCGCACCGGAGTATGTCCGCACGATCACCGGCTGACTGAAGGTACTGTTTCGAGCTCCCGTCGACTTGGCATACTGGTGACGAGAGTTCGCGCCACCATTCAGCTGCCTCAAGGCGGAGATTCTATGAGCCACTGTAGCCTCGTCCAGGATATGCTCTCCACGGGCAGCTTCTTCGGACTTGACGAGACTCGCGCTGGACGTATTTGAGCCCCAGAGATTCGGGGGAAGGGAGTGCAGAGGGAGGGAGTGCCGTCGACGGGAGTCTGTTGGGGCGGATTGAGTTTTTGGCTTGAGCCCGTGCAGGGAGGGGTTTTGGGAAGCTGACAACGTCCTGGGCGTTGAGCCACTGGGAAGAGCATCGGACAGCATTTTGTGGATCTCAGGACGGATGCAGAGGCATGTTTGGGGATCCGTCGAGGCTCGAGGCAATTGCTGGACTGCAAGCAGTGGATTTGATGTGTCGCTGTCGCTGTCGCTGTCGCTGTCACTGTGGTCCAGAGAACAGTGATATAGTTCTGCATGCGGGATGAAGTGTTCGTGCCACCGTTGGATACTCGTCGTCCCCGGATTTCTTGGCCGGCTAAACTCAGACGGGCCCAGGTGTCTTGGGCCAGTGGCGGGGGTCTCAATCACGGAAGCACCCGCAACACGCTTATCTTGACAACACCAAACTCCTGGCATCAACCCTCGATCTGCAATCTTCAGCCTCCAACGTCCAACGTCCAACGAAGAAAATTTTCATCGTCTACAAGATCTCGTCATGGCTTCGTTCCCCAATGACAACGATAAAGCTCCAGGTCGTGACGAGAAACCAGTACCAAAACCTGACAACCCGTTCGTCCAATTCCGACAGTTCGCAGACGCGCAGGTCAGCTCACTCCTCCAAGGCATCATTGGCCTCCCTTCAGCCCTGTCGAGACGACCAGCTGGCGATGCTCGGTGGAATGATACCGACAGTGATCTCCGAAGGCGAGACGATCTGCAGGCAAGAAGAAAGGAGTTGAGAGAGTCGGAGCCCAGGAACTTGAACGGCCAAACGGAAACAGCTACAACTTCGGGCACGTCGCCAACTTGCTATATATTTCCTGGCTGTCAGCCTTCAAGCAATAATACTGATGAACTGTTGGGGCTCGAAACCATAACTAAGGATGTACCGTTATATTCTCCGGTCACGAAGTCGTTGTTCGCCGCCCACTTACGACGCTATAACGAATGGGACCACGAAGCAGACTGGAAAATACCTGGAGACAATCTATCGCCGCTCGATATGTTACCCACTGCTCTGAGGGCTGGTAATTTGTTCTTGAGCACTGGCTATAATACCACACAAAGGACACAGATGGTGGCGTATGAAGCATTGAACTGCAGCTCAAGATTCCGCTCGGAGTACTCATTGCTGCCATATCTCCTATTCTCTTCTTACTCACCACTTAGGCTTGAAAATTCTCTGTCAAATCCGCTCAGCATCGATACTTTCCCGTACAAGGCAGCCTTCGAGGATTTACTTCAAACCAACCTAGCTGTTGAAGATCGAGAGGGATTGCTAGGTGGCGGAAACTATCACCGCAATGCCGATCAGGGTGAGCATGCGATCGATGATGTTCAAAAGCAGCTCATGCTCTTGGAAGAGCAGAAATTGGAACGGATGACTGCCAAGCGGGAAGCCCATGGGATATCGGCCCAGAAGACGGACGGTAGAACAGATTACCAGGGACAATGGAAGCAGGTCTTGGAAGAGGACGAGGGGAATTTGTTCTTCATGAATGATGGTCTAGGGAAAGTAGTGAGCGACTTCTTGTGGATGATAAAGATGCAACACATCGGACTTCTCCAACCTCGAGAATACCCAGCCTCGATATCTTCCAAGAGCGCACAAACCGAGCAAGAGATGTACGGCCATTTTCTTCGGCTCTCATCGTCGACCCCCAAGACGATCGATGAGTGGGTCAAGGCCGGCGACAAGATACTGTCCCCACTTGAGAAGAGTGAAACCGCCTCCGATGCCCGAAAGGATAACAAGGGGTCCATTGGGATCATGAGGGAGATCCTAGAAGCGGCTAAACAGTTCAGCGATGCCCAGGTGACATCAGATGGCCACGTCAACACGGAAGCAGTCCAGAATCGGGCAATTTCTGGACAAATGAAAGTGCCAGGCAACACAGATCGAGTAGTGTCTACGAGCACAACCTCGGATCGGACTGTCCACGAGGATGGCACGGTCGAGACCTCCATCACAGTTGTATGTGCATTCCCCTTCCTTTCTGGCAATGCCGCGGCTCTCGAGTCTGGAGGCATGACTTGAAACTTCAAATCCCCCAAACTGTATATCATGAAGAAAAAAATGCTAATGCTTATGAAGTGGAAACGATTCGGTAGTGGCCGAGAGATTACCACGACTACCCATCATTGCGAGGATCCGGCTTCGAATGGAAGAAATGAATCGAACACTCCCCTCGAGGAGAATGAACAGGAGTCAGTCCATGCGAAGAAGAAGTCAGGATGGTTTTGGAATTGAGCAACTTACCTTCTGGAACGATTGATCGCCTCCTATACCATACAGCTTGAGTGCATCTGTCCGTGGCTTCTTTTCTCAAGCGACACCGATGCTGTTGGATAGCTTGCCGCACGCAGGCTACAACATGCCTTCTAGGTATCGCCACCCTCTTCCAGGGTATCAGTTCTGCTGCCGTGGATATGGAGAGATGTTTGCTGCTGTTGTTGTTGTTGCTGTTTGCCCTGCCTTCTCTTTCACGCTGCGTCCGTCAGCACTCTCTACCGTCGCAAGGTTCGGTCGAGAAAGGACGAGGGCTTTGAGCTGGAGGGTACGGGCAGTTACCCTACTTTGCCAATCTCTGTTGGAGCAGCGGATCTCCTTGTCGCTGCGACAAACGGGATTCAGAGACAGCTGCTAGGAACTTTACATGAATGAAGATTGGTGGTGGTGTTGTTGAGATTCTAGAGTAGGCGGGAGGGTGATGTCGACAGCCTCGTCGGCATCTCCTCGGGGTTTGTGTTAGCGTGTCGCGTCTTAGCTTTCCCCACAAATTTTGATTTGGGGATGTCGGGAGTCTTAAAAACCTCGCCATCCCCAATGTCACACAACCACGCAACTAAGACCCAGCACAACCTACCGTCCAACTCTACTTTCAAAACACCACCACCAATCAGAAATTCTCTTCAAGATCTTCTCGAAAAATGCAATACCTCCGCCAGATGACCTCGCGGGAAATCCGAGAGGCCTTGTCCATCCGGGGCATGGACACCACGGGCACCAGGCCGGTCATAACAGCTAGGCTTCAAGCCAAGCTTTTGGAGGACGACAAGCAATACCCACCCGTGCAGGAGGAGATGCGCCGTGTGGTTACTGTTGAGGCCGCGCTGGTCAATGGCCAGCGCGACTTTGATACCTTGACTCTCCGTGTTCCCGTTGTCGGTAGCTCCTTCGACGACTATGCTATCGTTCTCAATGAGAAACGCACCAACATCGATTACAAGAGAGACATAATCAACTTCCCTAGCGGTGTCGGTCCCATGTTCCAAGCCATGGACCGTGATCTTTTGCAGTTCAACAAGATCGAAAGCATCATGGTGGAAGATATCTCGTTTGCCGACTTCGTCCTGGAAGATAGGGTTGAGGCCCGTTACCGCGACCTCCTTTCCGAGCTCTTCAAATCCCTTACCAATCTCAAGGAGATTATTGTATTTACTGAAGGACGCCCTCGGACTCGTATGTATCTCACTCCACTCTCACGCCACGAACATACTGACTATTCCGTAGACGATGAAGCATATGGTGAATTTAGCAAGTCGTACCGTGGCTACTCCATCGATGACCTGGATGCCCAGGACCATCTGTCCGAGGACCCGGTTCACTGGATCGTCAAGTACTTTGCAAAGGATGTGTACACGGTGATGCCCGGGGGAACCTGTGGGACGGATCTGGATGTCCTTCTGGACAGCTACGCTCAAGAGACCGGTACGGAGGAGCTGCACAAAGATGTCCAAGTATACTTCACCGATTTCTCGCGGGACTTAATTCTCTACTAAAAGCAGCCCGCGTCTTTGCTTAGAAATAGGCTGTTTTAAGGCCTTGGCGTTGGGACTAGATGGATGATGCCTTCAGGGTTTGGCTGGAGCGGCTACGGATCTGGGTGGCCTATGATTAATGAATGAATGCCTTCTCTCTTCGTTTCTTATCTCGTATATCTCGTGATTTTTGCGCGTGATATGCTAGGATTCGATTGTATTTTTTGTTTTTTGACGTATTACAAGACGTATACAGTCATTTTTATTCCATGAGGTAAAGTTTTAGAAGAGCGATGTATATTGAATGATGGCTAGCAGCCTTACTAAGCTAGCTCACAATGTGGCTCTCACTAGCAGCAGCTCATATATTATCTAATGCTGCTTATATTTACTCCAATTTCGAGACTTTCTAAATCACGATAAGCTTCACGATTGCCACTACGTATTTTAAGCAAGGTCCGGTGTTGATTTTCGCAAAACGAGGGTTCCTGGTCCACCATGGTGCTCTCCTCTGTAACTTGACATGCTGGAGGAGGAGCTCAACGAATGTCTCCCTGTCTATGCTGTCGTGGCCATCCATGGGCTCGACCGAGGATGGCTGCCTGGACAGGCTGAGCGAGGTTTCTTGCCCTCAGGAAGAAATTCCAAGCTCGAGGTCTCTCACTCCTTGCTATAAGTAGGGACACTCAAGCGACAGCCCCTTTCCCTTCTTCCCAGTGTCTCATGAGTTTCATGGCACTGAGACAATTCTCCAGACTCTAAGATACGAACAGTTGTTACACGAAAAATTTGCTAACCTCCCAATGATCCTGCATGCGGGCGGGCGTAGCTTGGGGTGGATGGATACTCCACCTCTATGCCTCCCACAGAGTACCGGCCCGGCGACAGTGCAAATACTAACATTGGCCCTTAGGGATGCAGATGCTAAGGCTGGCGAGGCTATCATGCCGGACTCAGCAGCTCTTCGCACAGAAAATCTAAGAGGACCTGTTGGCTTTGCCTTGCGCTTTGCAGACTGCATCACAGTAGATCCATACAAGGCCGAATACATGCCATGTCCTGCTGGGAGTTGGTGTTACGGCAATGGAAAGAATGAGCTATTTCGTGGCCTGGACGAGTCCATATCGAAGGCGGGTTGCGGCGACGAGCATGGGGAATCTATGGGTTTAGGGAAGCGGCAGTAGAAAAACCGGAAGGATCCAAGAAGAGGCGCAGGAACCTTAAGCCACTGCTATGTCAATTTGGCTCTCAAATATGTGCATTTGCACAGGCCCAGATGGGTAGGGAGCCTTACTCGGCGAAGTGACTTTCACTTGTAGCAGAGTACGTAGCCAATTGAGCCCCTCTGATATCCTACTTAGAAAAAAGTGTCTTGCAGTTGGCACCCTTCAAGCGAAGTGCCAGATTCTTAGCCGTATATCCAACTTTATCGGAGAAGGACTGACCTAAGATGCTGACTAAATGAGTTATCTTGCTCGCTCTTCCGGTACGCTCTTACTGACAGTTTCTCAAGATCATACTTGGCCAGCCACAGCGTCTTTGGTTAGGAATATACTGTGCATCCCAGGGTCAAAGGGACTGGTACTCGCTAGCACCTCTGCGCTGATCAGCGTTCCAACACAAAGTAGCAACGACTGTACAGCTGACAGCTCATTAGAGTACTTCCCCCAATACCGCCTTAGCCGCAGCTTGCCATCCACAACCATTTCCCCCATCAACGCAATCGAGTTTTGGATTCGTCAGGCCGAACGATGCCACTAGCGACGAGCTGGCGAACACACACGTTTTCACCACCTCCATCAACAAAGCCGACTTCCGTAATCTCACAAACGAACACCCCTATCCATCCAGCTCCCAAGGACCGAGCCACTTGCAAACAACTCTTCAGTCACAGGCGCTAAGCGGAACAAAACTCTCGCTTCAGATTTCTCGACGTTGACGGTGTTCTCCCTTTCTAGCAGCAAGCCAGGGCAAGCGCTACATCCATCCTCAACGCGATTCTGGATAAGCTTTGCTGGACAGAGGCAGTAGAGGCGGCAGCAGCAGCAGCAGCAGCAAGAGTCTCGGCCAGCTTTGATGATCTGGCGGACACGTCCTTGAAATGGATGTAACCTTCGGAAATACTCGATGACGTTCCACATGGAGCTCGACGATATTGATACCAGTGCGCCGGTCGTTTTCGTTAGGAACGTAGTGGTGCTAAAAGCAGCTGGGCGCTGACATTGCCTCATCTGAAGTCATGAGCACTGCGCTGACGCCGGAAAGGCTGCCAGAAAAGTGTGACTGCGTTGCGGAAAGCTTTGGAGAGCCCGTTCGTGATTGTATACTTCTGTACATCGTCTGGTGGTTTAGAGGTGTGTGTGAAAATATGAAGTTCTTGTATAAATCTCCTCTCGCGATCGCGGTGAAAATGGGCCGAGGAAGTCTATGGAGTGAAATAAAATGATGAGAGAAATAGAACGTAGCGGAGTGTGGAGGGGTTTACATGTTCTTGGGCATCCGTCTCAAGATCAACAACGAAATCTGCTTTTTGAAAGAAAAGAAAACTGCATGCATGAAAGATTGTGATATCAGGAAAGATATAAGAAGTAGCAAACAAGCAAGTGGCTGGCTATAGCTTTGCGATTTGTAGTATTAGCCACTCGGCCATAAGAGTCATCCACGGAAGAGCTCGAGAGATGGATAGTAAAGTGATTTCGTATATTTGAACGTTTCTGGGCCTTGCGAGACTCAACGGATCAAACCAAAGTCGGGAATTTCGAATCCACGAATCGCGTGGTGCCATTGGTACACCCCATCCCGTTATAGCTCATTTCATACATCCTCCACAACCTACACATGTATCATACACCTATCCTAGCCAGTTTACCGAATTTTTCTCCTCAGACTCCTCTTTTCTGCATTCCTCGCCTTTCTTACGTTCGCCTTCCTCCATGCCAACCACCGATTCCTCGGCACAAACTCCTTCACCCTAACCTTCGCCCTCTCCGCCGCCCTCCCAATCTCCCAATTGGCCTCTCGGTACATGTATCCCGGCCTAAGCTTCAGCTCCCTGCCTTCCTCGCCCTTCCTCTCCTTCAGCTTCTTCGTCTTCACAGCCATCGGCACACCCGTGCTACCATCTGCCTCAGTCGCCAGATCCGTGCTGATAGCTCTTACTTGGGGCAGGATAGGCGGGGGCGTCTCCATCTTTTGGGCAGTCATATTCATGCGCCGTCTTCGTATGCTGTTCCTCGGTAAGGGCAGGACCTGGTCGCGCTCGAACACGACACCGATGTACTGGCGCTTGGGGTGCTTCTCGGGGTCTTTATAGTACTTTACGTAGCCGTGGTGAGTGGCGTAGATTGTGTGATCGCGGCCCATGGCGCAGTTATCGCCGGGAAACCAGTGCGTGCCGCGTTGGCGGAAGATGATGTTCCCTGGAATAACATATTGCTCTATTCAACCCATTAGCGTTGAACCGTCGATACAGAGTGCTCCGGCAGAGCTATCGAGGCAAGCAAAAACGAACCTCCGGATTTCTTAGCACCCAGCCTCTTGCCCGGCCCATCCTTCGCCTTGTTGACAGTTCCTTGCGCTTTATGATGTGCCCATCTCATACCGTCCATCCTCCCACCCCGCGTCCGGATTGCCAGCTGCGCGAACGCCTCATTGAGACAGGTCGTCTGTGGTCCTCCAGCCACAGCCCGCGAGATTGAAGTGAGCGCCGTCCGTAACGGCGGTTGTAATCGTGGGAGCAACATTGCGGTGTTGATCTGCACTTGACTGGTGGTTGTCGTTTAAAGAAGTCGAGATATCTGACGGAACAGCGTTCCGCCGAGTCAATTTAATTTATCCGATTTATACACGGAATACTCGCGAACCAAGTCTCGACCCAAACAGTGACCAACAACGCAACATGGCGACCGCAAGACCATGCCTGGCTCAATTAAGCAGGATTTGTCTGTCATCTGTACGGCCGACATCTACAACCACCTCTGCGAGATTCCTCAGCACAACCATCCCTTTAGCAGCTCGCGGACCCAACGCGAACAAAATCCTCTCGAAGCAGGAAAAAGCCAAGCTGGCCAAGTCGTCGTCGAATCCTCAGAAGAACAAGAAGAAGGGCGAAGAGACGAAGAAAAAGAAGAAGACGAGTACGACGTATAAACAGTATGATCCGAAGGATCTGGAGCAGTTCTCGCTGTGCGATGCTATGCGGTACGCTCACTCATAACTCATCCATTACGGACTAAAGGGCTGATTTTTATCTGTAGATATATCAGGGCATTCGAGGTTGGGCAAAAGCCGACTTCGGCCAAGTACGAGATGGCGCTCAAATTCAAGTCGCTGAAAAATGGCCCTGTCATCAGAAACAGATTACGGCTTCCCCATCCCGTCAAGACAGACATCCGAATATGCGTTATCTGCCCGCCGGACTCGAAATACGCCAAGGATTCGTTGGCAGCAGGCGCATATATGGTCGGAGAAGAGACCATTTTCGAGGCTGTTAAGGATGGCCGGATCGAGTTCGACAGATGCATATGCCAGACTGATTCTCTGGACAAGATGAACAAGGCTGGCATGGGAAGGTTCCTTGGACCTCGAGGCATGATGCCGAGCACGAAGCTGGGAACGGTTGTGAAGGACCCGGCGACAATGCTGAGAGATTTTATTGGCGCTGCGGAGTACAGGGAGCGGTTGGGTGTGGTGCGGATGGCTATTGGCCAATTGGGCTTCACGCCAGAGGAGCTGTCGAGGAACATTAAGGCGTTCATCGAGGCTGTGAAGAAGGATATGGCGACCTTGAGTGAAAAGATTAATAAGGAGTTGGTGGAGGTGGTGCTGAGCTCTACGAATGCTCCTGGATTCCCTTTGAATGGAGAGTTCAGGTCTCAGGACTCGGATATCACTCCTAGGGACCTGTCGACCTCGTAGATTATACCAATGTAAAATATATGTACTATGATCCTATTCGGCTCTATTGTAGACTTGAGGTCATGGTTCGTTGCGAGAAATCTAGCTCGGCGACACATCCAACGACGCACAATTGAACTGGACGAACCGAGCTTCTACCCACCCATATTCAGGCTCTATGCAAGCAAAGGCTACCTTGACTCCAAACTCCTCAGCACCTTGACGGCCTCCTCTTCCGCCCCAAACTCCCTATAGACCCCCAAAATCCCAATCAATCTCGTCTTGCCGCCCTCCTTCATACCAGCCGCCTGCTTCAACGCCGTGCCCAGATCCAGCAAAATCGTATTCTTCAGCCTCACCACCCTCTCCTGCTGCTTAACGATAAAGGGATGGTCTCTCCCAATCCTGTCCATCAAAGTCTCAACCTTTTTAAAATACCCGGCCATCCTCTTTAATTTCCCGATACTCGCACCCACCCTCAAGCCCACGTCCTCCTCCTCATCGTCCTCATCCTCACTATCACTCCACTCGTCCGCCACCACCGATCCGTTCCCGATCCCGTTCCCATTCCCCGCCCGCGTCAGACTCTCCACCATCAGCCTCTCCTCGAGCTCCTCCAACCTCTCATCCAGCTCCAACAGCCTCCTCCCCAGCGCCATCTCCCTCCCCACGCCCGTCTTCTCGGCAAGCAAGCCATCCACCTCCTCCCTCCTCTCCCCGACCCCCCTCCGCACCTCCTCCACGCCCCTCTTGAAGCCCAGCAAGCCCACCCTCACGTCCTCCACGCGCTCCTCCCCGCCCTTCAGATCGCGGCCCAGGCTGAGGAACTGCTCGTAGTTCGTGTTCACGAGGTCCAGCAGCTCCTTGCTCAGCGCCTGGGACCGCTCCCGGAGGTCGGCGCGCAGGTCCTCGAGCGTCTGGTGGCGCTCCGAGAGCGTGGACAGGTAGGCCGGCGCGGAGAATGTGGGCGCGAGGAAGTCGGAGCGGGGGAGCGCTTCCGGGTAGGGCAGGTTGTCGACATCCTCGTCGTCTGAGAAGGAGGGTGTTCTTGTGGGGGAGGAGGCGCGGCCGCTGAAGTAGAATTTACTCATCTTGAGCTTGAGAGGGGACCGCTTGACGAGCGCTTGGGGTCAAGTGGGAAGATTGTACTACTTATTCGGGGCTTGCTGCTCGTTCCTTGGGGTATGTAATGTACTGGTAGCCGTCACGTGGCTTTACGTTGATTCGGAATTGGTATGGCTGAGAAAACCTGGGCAGAAGAGTGCTGGAAAGCTGGAAGGAAAGAACCGCTTATTTGTGAAGAAGATGGAATTCATCAATTGAGAATTATGTGTCCGTGATGCTTCTCGATCGTGGGTTGTATTTTGGGGGGTTTTGAGGGTCTGTTGTTGTCGCTGATCACATCTACCCGAGGGCAGAGCCTCAACCCGATCCGATAAGTGAGTACCGTAGCTGTCCGTAAGTATATCAATACCTTGGCGCAAAACTAACAACTCGAACGAACATCAATCAAATACTTGTAAAACAGCCCTCTTCCTCTTAATGTATTACGTAAATCCAAACCACACCCCTTTCCTCCCCCTCCCCCCACGCGAGTGCAATCAATGCTTCCTCTTCCTCCCTACCCGCCTCCGCTCAAAGCTCAACACAACAACTGGGTCCAACTCTACTCGACCCTCTCCTCTCCCAGCCCCCCCTTATCCCACGTGCTCGCTAAGACCAAAGACCAAGACTAACAACGGCCCACCTCCTTCCCCATCCGGTCTACGGTACAGTAACAGCCTTTCCCTCCCTCGCATCGGGTCCAGACGCAGCTCCCACGATGGCAGAAGATATGATAGGCGATCACCTGATCCATCGGCGGAAGAAGAAGCTTTGTACTAGTACGTACTGTAGTACTACTACGTAAGTACGTAGTACTACTACCTACTACTACTTACTCTCCCCCCCAGGAATACATATCGAAAGTATAATTCTGCAAGGGATCTTACCGGGTCTTCAACCGATCAACTTACGTACCTATAAGCATTCGTTCAGCCTTGAAAAGTATCTTTGAGCCGTTATTTAGTCTGTGCAATGGAGCTGATAGGGCTTTAAGCCATTCAGAAATCACCGCTCTACGATTTATGGAGCTAAACTGGGTCCGACATTTATTCATGGGGGTGCATAGTAGGGATAGTGGTAGTTCCAGGGGGGTTATCTTCTTCTTCTTCGTCCGCTTCTTCTTCGTCCTTCTTGTCAGCGCCGCTGTCTTTGGCTACTGCTTGTTTGTGCTGTGGGAATCCAATTGCGACTTCAGCTTCAATTTCAGCTTCAGCTTTTCGGATACGAAGATGCAGCAACAGCAGCAGCTTTTCAGCCGGATCTTGCTCGCCATCGCGAGCGCGGTCTTGTTGGGAGATGTGGAGGGATCAGCCGAAGCGAGCTTGTTGTCGTACCCGGCTCATCATCAGAGTAACTTGAACCACACGTGCCAGCTGCGTATGTCAACACTGTCATGATTTTTTTTTTTCTCATTTTTTCCTAGCTACGCTGTATATCCTATGAGAGATGTTGCAAAAAGCTGACGAGAACCATGTATGGATAAAAAAAGAAACGCCCATTCTGTCCTGCTCAGCCAATGCTGGGCATCCCAACGTGTTGGATTCCTGCTGCACGGAAACCGAGGGCGGCTTGGTTCTCCAGACCCAGTTCTGGAATACCTACACCGGGCTCGAATCCGCGGGTCAGGTGCTGCCGGTAGAAACATGGACGATGCATGGGCTCTGGCCGGATTTCTGCAACGGGTCTTATACGCAGTACTGCGATCTCAGCCGTCAGTACGACCCGCTCCCCTCCCCCAACACCACGACCGGCAAGCCAGACGGCACCCCCGTCGTCCCCTACCACGGCCCTAGCATCGCCACGTTCCTCGAGCCCTTCGGCAAGTTCGACCTCCTGGCCTTCATGCGCCAATTCTGGGTCGGCCAGGGCCAACCCAGCGCCGACCTTTGGGCCCACGAGTTCTCCAAGCACGCCACCTGCTTCTCGACCTTCGCCCTGCCCTGCTACGGCCCCATGTACCAGGAGCACGCCGAGGTGGTCGATTACTTCCAGACGGCCGTCGCCTACTACCGAAACCTGCCTACCTACTTCTGGTTGTCCGCGAAGGAGATCAGGCCGAGCAACAGCACCAGGTACAGCTTGACGGACTTGCAAGAGGCGTTGACCGAGGGTTTTGGAGCCCTGCCGTATATTGCGTGTTCGGGCCCAAGATACAATGCCACGGCTGCGGGCAAGGGGACGACGGATAATGGGTACACAGTGGTGAGCGAGGTGTGGTACTATTACCATGTCTACGGACGGGTGCAAGAGAATCAGGGGGTGCCAGTGAATGCGAGTATCAACGGGGGGAGTGTAAGTAGTTGTGCAAAGACAAAGGGGGCGTTGAGCTACTACTTGAGGACAAACGGGAGCGAAGCCTAGGCACCTTGGGTAGTAGGCAACGAGTGGGAAGAAGGTGGGAAAGACTTAATGATAATCTGACTTGATGGCTCAAGATTCTCTTCTCCGTTTCTCTATCCAACCCGGAAATGCGTTTCGCTATCGTTCATGGTATATGCTCCGGCTTCCTTTTCTGTGACACGCGCGCATAGCTTTCGTTCCCCAGAAATTAATACAATCCCCTCTTTCCCTCCCACCTTTCCCAAAAATTTCCCTGTATCTACTCCTCCTCACAGAAGCCCCTTTCTCGCCAACTCGACCTTCCGCGCCGCCTCCCCGGGTTTGAAGCCGCCCTTGCTAATGCACATCATCTTGCCATCACCCAGCTCGAACTTCTCCTCGTGCGCAGGATGCGGGCAGGGGCAGTGGTGTGGGAAGTGCACGCAGGCCAGGGTATCCGGACATAAGTAATTGGAGCATCGCGCTGTGGCAACTGTTAGGATCTTTCTCTTTCCGTTCTTTATCTCTCAACTGAATTGAGGCTCGTCTTTTCTCGTGCACGGAATGGCATGCTGCTAAACGGGTTTGGCAAGCAACGATGGATGAGATGGGATGGGGTAGGAGGTAGGGAAGATAAGGAGGTACCTTGGTCGTAGTTCTGCTGGTACCAGACTGAATCACTCGGCACATCCTGGGGTGCTTGTCTCTGCTGCTGCTGGCCTTGCCCGTGGAACATCTGCTCAAAAAACTGAAATTGGGCGTTTGCGACGGAGAGGAAGAGGAGGGCGGTAGAGAGGAGGGAGAGGAGGAGTCGTGGCATTTTTGGATCGCAGGAGTTAGGTTGCGCTTGTAGCTGTGCCTGTGGTTGTGGTTGTAGTAATTGGGGTTGAGAGCTGTAGACAGCTTTTCTGCTTCTTACTCGATCGCGGCCTGGATATTTAATGGATTGGATGTCTTTTGTTTACAAACGAAAGAACGGTCAGAAGTTGAGATGTTGACGATGATGTAGTGTTGGCGAGCTCAGTCAGGCCAAATATCACTTACTCTGGACTTGCATGTAAGCAACACCCCTGTCCGCCAACTTGCCCCGCGGTGCTGTAAATAACAAATCCAGACAGAAAAATCGACCCCTCCATTCTCGATTCTCCATCCTCCGTCACCACCACCGCATTGCTCACAACACACTACCGCTAACCATGAAGCCGCAAGAGGTCTCGCAGCTGCCCGCAAGCTTGAAAGCGTTGGACTTCAAAGCCGTGGAGCCGCATCTCGCTGCCCTGGACAAGCATCTCACGCTCCGAACCTACGTCGAGGGGTACACGCTCAGCCAAATTGACACGGACATTTGGATCACCATCCGCACAAATCGAATCGCGACAGCGGCACTGAAGAAGGGGAGCTTGGTGCATGTGTTGAGGTGGTTCAACTACATTGAGCAAACTCACCCCGAGATCCAGCAAGAGATCAAGGCCAAGGATGAAGCTGAGAAGGCAAAGAAAGCGGTGCAGAGCAAGGCCGGAGCAAGCTATAACATGGCGCTGCAGGATGTCGAGAAGGGCGTTGTGACTCGATTCCCCCCGGAGCCATCGTAAGCTCCTGTCGGGAGGGAGAACGTGACATTGGTTGCTGACTCGAAACAGCGGATACCTGCATATTGGACATATTAAGGCGGCGCTTCTGAACGATTACTTCGCACACGAGTTATACAAGGGCACGCTACTTCTGCGATTCGACGATACCAACCCTTCGAAGGAGAAGCAGGAATTCCAGGATTCTATTATTGAGGATCTGAAGCTGGTGGGCATCAAGCCCGATAAGACGAGTTTTACCAGTGACTACCTGGAAGACCTTTACCAATATGGCATCCGTATGATCAAGGAGGGCCATGCCTACGCCGATGATACCGACCAGGAGACCATGAGAGCCGAGAGAATGGACGGAATCGCCAGCAAGAACCGGGACAAGAGCGTCGAGGACAACCTCGCTATTTTCGAGAAAATGAAGGAGGGTAGCGATGAGGGACGAAAGTACTGCATCCGTGCAAAGATGTCCGTCGACAACCCGAACAAGGCCATGCGCGATCCCGTCATCTACCGCTGCAACGTTGATACGCCTCACCACCGCACCGGCACTAAATGGAAGATGTACCCTACGTACGACTTTGCCTGCCCGATCGTGGACTCTTTGGAAGGGGTCACCCATGCTCTGAGAACGACCGAGTACACCGACCGAAACCCGCAATACCAATGGTTCCTTGACACGCTCAAGCTACGTCAAGTGCATATGTGGGACTTTGCCAGAATGAACTTCATCCGCACCGTGCTGTCTAAGCGAAAGTTGACCAAACTGGTCGATACTCAGACCGTCTGGGGCTGGGACGATCCTCGTATGCCGACTATCCGCGGTGTGCGTAGGCATGGAATGACCATCCCGGCCCTCCGCGATTTCATCTTGAAGCAAGGCCCGAGTCGAAACATTGTAAACATGGACTGGACCAACTTCTGGGCATCCAACAAGAAGGAAATCGACCCAGTCGCACCGCGACACACAGGTGTTCTTGAGAAAGAAGCTGTCAAGGCCACCCTCACCAACGGACCCGAGAAGGCGTATACCGAGGATAAGCCCAAGCATGCTAAGAACCCAGCAGTAGGTACCAAGAAGGTCGCTTTCAGCAAGCACCTGCTCCTTGATCAAGAGGACGTCAAGCTCTTTAAGCAAGACGAGGAAATCACGCTCATGGGTTGGGGTAATGCGTTCGTGCGGAAAGTCACTGGCTCGAATCCTATTACCGACGTTGAGCTCGAGTTGCACCTCGAAGGCGACTTCAAGAAGACCGAGAAGAAAGTCACTTGGTTGTCGACTGAGGGGCAGGAACTGGTGAAGGCCGAGGTGTGGGAGTTTGATCACTTGTTCACGAAGGACAAGCTGGAGGAAGAGGATAACTGGGAGGATTTCGTGAATAAGGACAGTGCGAAGATGGAGGTACAGGTGACTGACGAGAATGTGAAGGGGTTGAAGGAGAACGATATCATCCAGTTGGAGCGCAAGGGGTTCTTTAGGGTGGACAAGGCGGCTGGAGAGGGGCAAGCGGTTGTGCTGTTTGGGATTCCCACGGGCAAGACGAAGTGAAAAGTAGAGTAGAAGAGTAGAGGAGGGGAGAGAAGACGAGAAGTAAAATCAGCTCCGATCGCCTAGATGATTGGCAATAAAATGATTGTTGATGATATATCGACATTGGCGGACAAATTTTTTTTTCTGTCCGATAATATTGCCGTGACGTTGCTTGCTTGCCACGTCTGTTAAAACGAAATCATCTAAAGCACAAGCAGACTGCTATATCTGTAGACCCGTTTGAATTTATCATTTGAAAATACTTATTTTATCATATAGTAAGTAACATACCAATACACACAAAATTTTCCCTCAAATCCCACCCCCTTGAATTGGTGACTCACCCCGGAGAAAGAAGAGGGAAATAATGTTCAAAAATAAACAGGGGGAAAATAAGGAAAAAAAAATGTACAAAATGAGTATATGGGGAACAGAAAGAAATGATAATCGTCGGCTCGCGTAGGTGGGCTTCCTTTCATCCTTTCAGTCTTAGTCGGCATAAGCGATTGCGGATCGGAAGCGAATGCGGATTTTTTCGAATATGTTAGAAATTCTTTAATACTATAGCATTTATTATTACAACTAAGAAATATTTACATGAATAATTAATCGTTTATTATACCGTCTTCCGAAATATTTAAAATCGTATCATCCGATAAAACATCTGACTATCGATCACTATTTTCATTAGAATTTGATTCGTCTTCTACTTTACGCAACGAATCGTTTGAATCTTTATTATTATTAGAATTGAAGCTATCGCTATCGATATTAATACTAAGAAAAGGAATAATATTTTGCTTTAAAGAAAGGTCTCCGGTAGTATCGGTTGTAATTATTAGATCATTATCACCGAGAAAAGGTTCAGGTTAAGAAAAAGTTGGTCGAAGAATACTTTTTTTACGAGGCCGCAGAATTTGACGTTCAAAAGGTTGTTGCATCTAACAAATCTCTTTCGAATCGAGAATTAAAATGAGTATTGAATCGTCGTTTTTAATAATTAAGCTTGCAGCGTTTTCGTATAATCTTTTTACGCTCGCGCTTAGCTTTGCGTAAATCGATTCCTTTACGATATTAGCATCTTTGTTTTGAATTTTATCGGTGATTCATTATTATTTTGCACTAGATTAAAAAAAAAATTAGCTTACTGCTCAATAGCAAGCTTTTCATCGATTTAAAATATCAAACTATCGATATATAAACACGTTTTCGGCTTATAATTAATGAAATACAATTAAATTATACGATTATGAATTAAAAAGTAATGTTTTAAGTTGTATTTTGTATATAATAACTAGCAATAAAAGAAAAATCCGCATTCGCTTCCGATCCGCAATCGCTTATGCCGACTAAGACTGAAAGGATGAAAGGAGGCCCACCTACGCGAGCCGACGATTAGCAATTCCAAGTTTCGATCTTGGGACCTCAGGGTTATGAGCCCCGCGCGCTTCCTCTGCGCCAAATTGCTTGTGTCCTCTTTCTCACATGCTTACACCAGTTACAGCTGGCCAACTTATGCTGCTAACGGTGGAGCAGTGGTTATCTAAAGAGATTCGTTGGAATTTGATGGAGGTGTGGCGGAGGGAAGGTATGAGTCATAAACATGTGGTTCTGTTTAGGTAGGTGCGGCGCGGCTTGGTACGGAGATGCCCCACTTGTTTAGTTTTAGATCGCTAGGCAGTTATTAACTGAAATTACAACGTAGATAAGGTAAGATAAGGGGGTTATTCTCGAGTCTAATTCGATCTTCTGGAGTTGGCTCGCGTGGTGTATTTTTTATATATATATATATTTTTTTTTCATCATTGCTATCCCTTTCAGGTTCAACTAAGAGTTTCCTTGTTCGGTTCGTTGGTCGTAATCAAGACTGACCGACCGATTGCCCTTGGCACTGACTGACTGGTCTGGTAGGTAAGTAAGTAAGCGAGCATCGAGCGCGAGCCTGATGGGCAAACAAAACAAATGGCGGCGTCTAACCATCATTCGATCGATGCTAAAACCAAGACACCAGGCGAGCAATTCGTGATTTACAGAATGTGTATATCGCTGGTTGCGTTGTGCTTATTCCAATACGTTTGCGAACATGGTCGCTTCTAGAGCACTTGTGCTATAAATAATGTACATGAAAGTAGAAAGATCCTATCCCGGATATCTTCCTCGCTACGCCAGCTTCTTCCTGCGCAGCCCTGAGAACTTTTGCCTTCTTCCCAACCTCCCCAATAGATTGAAACTCCGCGACAAGTGCGATATCTCTCATTGTGATCTTAAAGACGGCGTAGGGAGCTGCTGTGATGGTCAGCTGGCCTTCTAGATACTTATCAATCCCATATTTAGAAATTGTAACCTATTCGAATTGGAGGGGAGGAGAAGGTAACGTTATACCATCTCGCGAAATTCCTTTTTTCTTCAACGCGTAAAAGAACTGCAGGCAAGTGATCTAAATAAAAAGTCCAAGACAGTGCTTGCTTGCTTACATTATAAGCCCTACGACGAAGATGCTGAGGACGTAGAAGAAGAAAACGCGGTGAAGTTTCTTCTTCTTAGCCGCTGGGATGATCCCGCGAGGGTTTCGAATCGTTGCTCTTGATATTGCCACAACTTGGATGTTTCCAAAGCTGACTGCGGCACTGATGAAGACGGCCAAGGTGACAAAATCCGCCCGTGGCTCGGTATTACATGCGCCGGGATTCTTCCACTATCGAAAGCCAGTCCTCTCGTGGCCCATCCCGCCACCGAGGTCGACGACTAGTCCAGCAATGATCAAACCAACGATGAGAGCCAACTTCATGAAAGCGAAGACGACTTCAGAATATATATATACGAGTTTGCCCGCTTGCGTGATTCGAAATCCCACGTCCCAAACCCTTCGTTGCTCACTTCTCCGTACAGAGTCAAGTGACTGATCGATCGGCCTCTCGAATCGGGAGACTGCAAGCTGACCGGTCCATCATCGTGGTCTCATAGATTTAGGCAGCTGCTGAGCCTGCTGTATGCACATATCTGATCTCTGATCTAACTCGCAAGGTTCGTCAAGATCCCCCCTCCCCCCCGTTTCTTAAGTACCTAAAGGTAGGATTGAGATTTTCGGATGCCGGCGGCCAAGCTGAGCTGTCGCTCTTGAGCTTGATACAGGCAATGTGGGATGTATGGTTGAACTTGGGCCTCAGTGCTGCATGAACGCTCTCGCGGCTCATGGTCATCGACGGGGATCAAATCCCAACAGCGTGTCTTACACACAAGCACTGTCCATACTGTATGTAGGTATTGTATGCAGTTTGAAGCCCTGGCACTCTCGACCGATTCGACCAGCCATCCATTCTCAATCCAACACCATGCATCACTCGACGTTCGCCGACGATCAACGAAACCACATCCCCGAGACGGTGCAGCTGAGCAGCATAGAGCGACTTCGGATAATTGCTGGCCTGTGGCAGTTAGTTCTCCAGCCCGGCTTCCAGAACCTAGATCGATGCGGCATGCCTAACTTCTGAAGCATATCGACACCGGGCTCACAAAGTATGGTAGGCACGTACGGAGAAAGTGGCTTCCCTAGATCCGATGGGTATGGCGGAGAACCGAAAGAAAGGCTGACGCGGGGTCTTCAGACATATATGGCTGATCACTACGGCGATGTGGAAGTCACCTTTATCAGTTTCCTTTCGAAGGACGTCATGACACGTCACGAGTCGTCGGACTGCAGGAGGGAGGTTTATAACACATAATTGTAATTAATGGGTGATCTGCGGCTGCGTATCGTGTTTTGTAGTGATTTTGGTTAGTTGGTTGGTTGGGTAAGTAGGTAGGGTAGGAAAGGGAGGGGGGAAAATGGGATTGTAAAAAAAGGACTTGTTAAAAAAATAAGGAGAAAAGAAAATTTGCAAATCTGCAAATTAGAATATTGAATATGTACTTTTTGAATGTCCTCTGTACAGGTAGATGGGGCTGACTGTTTAAAAAAAAGATTGATGAAAAGAAGCGAGGGCAAGACGTGAGAAGATGAAGAAAATATAGCTTAGGGTGTAAGATGTGAATGAGGCAGAAAAAGCAAAAAGAAGAAATTCAAACTGATGACGATGGGATTCGAACCCATGCTCTTTCGAACTAGTATATTACACTATTTAGAAGTTTTCCGCTTCTTAGTTCCTGAAACTAGCGCCATAACCGCTCGGCCACGTCACCTTTACTTGATTTGATGGAACGATGGCCCAAAAGCTGTATTATAAAAGAAAAAATTTAATGCCAAGCTGAGTGGAGTGATGTGGGGTCTTTTTAGCGAGCGGATGAATTCATGCAACCAACCTCCACCTTTGAACGCGCAATACAACCAGCTCTTTTTATTTATATGCATGACTGATCGATAACGCAATTAAGAATCTTTCTGTCTCAAGCCTTATTTGCAACATCAGTTCATAAATTTCCTCCATATTTTTATTCATCAGTCTGCCGGATATAACAATCATGGCAAACACCAACCACCCCTCCCGAGGGTGCGAGTACAACAACGATCGAAAACATTCCCGGTCTATACGTCCTGAAATAAAAGCAGAAATTATCATGTGTCTGCCAGCTGCCAAAAGGGGTCCTGTGCGTCGCGAAAGCCAGCGACGAGGTATTTATATATAATTTCACGCTGTATCTATCTGCTGGCCAGGGGATGAGTAATGTTTGTAGCCTTTCTTGTTTTCTTCCTCCATCTATTTTCTATTGCTTTATTTGGTCTCAGTATTCATTCCCGGCTCTTCTAAAGCTTTTTCAATTGTTTATCGAATCACCTCATATCACTATTATACATTTTCATTATATCGTGTATCAATCCCAATCCCGAAACATACGAGGAAACAACAAACAGCCATCACACAGCGGCCGGAAAACAAATACTCTATGAATAATAGTGATAAAGAAAAAATACATATATGTATACAGCGGCCGTCCTCCCCTCAGATGCGCGCGCTGGTCGATTGTCAAGACCCGAATTGCAAATCGCTGAAGCGCGGCCGGGCGTGAGGACCTTTCGGCGTTCTGAGATGAAGACGATGGGTTGCAAGAGGATTTGATTTTTTTTCAGGTTGGAAGAGGAGAGGAGATGAGGGAGGATGATACTTTGGAGTTTCACGAATTGAAAAACGCACGCGCTGCTGTGTAGGGTCTGAAACCTTGCGGCCTCCAACGACGTTTTCTCTCTTCTGTCTAGGCTTCGCACAGATGCTGCTGCGAAGTTCTATTTTCATCGCTTCTGTGACGAGATGTAGCGGGCTTTGGCGTTTTTTTTTTCAACGGGTAAGTTTCACGTTCACATTCACGTTTTGTAAATGAGGGCTACTGCAGACCAGAATCATCGCCCAAACCATCTAAATTTCTGGAAAGTGGAAACAAGGCCGTACCGTTTACAACTCAAATCTGGTCTGGGATTGGGAGATAGAGATGTCGAATATCACGTTCTAAGGCCGTGGGCCGAGGTGGACGACCGACTCTTTCTTCCACAATCAATAATGTGCAATGGTCTAGGCGGATTCTCGCAGTGGATAGTGTCAACTTCTAAACCTACGCGGCCGGGAAAGGCGAGATATGATAGCCGATACCTAGCTACTTGTATATTACCGTGAAATTCGAAGAATTCTTAATGTCACAGAGAGCTGCACCCATATAATTAACTCTCTTTTGAGCACCACTCCCCAAAATGTTTAGTTTCGCTACTATCTACGAATATGCATTCATTTTGCATTGACTGCTGCTCCGATGCTGTTCCGAAGCAATTATGGTTTTATTAGGAAAAGGGAAAGGCAAAACATTTAATAGTCGCTGCGAATGTTTCAATTGCAACGATCCGAAGGCATGCTATGGCTATAAGAGACACCCAGTCGGGAATCGATGATCTATTATAAAGGGCCATAGAAACCTATGTCAAATATTGTTGAAGAAGAATATACCTTTGAAATTCGATAGCTTCTGGAAGACTGGCAGTTCAAAGCTTGCATCGTTGCTTATTCATTGGCACTCTCTTGAGCGATCTGTTGTTAGCGCTGTCTTGAATCGGTATGTATATCTTTCGGGGATTACTGTTCGGTTTTGGCCTCTTTTATTAAAGTGAAATGCCTAGCTCAGCTACCGGTTATGGATGGGGCATGATTTAACACCGTCATATCAGATTGACTATTTTCCTGCTCACGTCTGGTACTTTACATTCGAATGAGGCCTTTTTGTCCGGTGCTCTTAATCTGTTTTGTGTAGCTTATTTTCTACAGTAGCGAGAGACAATCCAAAAGGGGAATCTCGGCCTCTTCCAGCAAAAAGGCGAAGAAGAACCTGTACTTTAGAAGAATGATGATGGGTGACTTTGCCCACTCGCTCAAGGCGTGGGAGTACATCTTCCCACAGCAGTGACAACAGTCAATCAGATATATAGGTACGGTACGGGTATCTCAACCTCACTGAGCCAGGCCGGCACGTACCTAATGCCTACGCGCTTTTTCTTCGAGCACTCGCTTACAGCGACAGCATCATTAACAACACACTGCAATAGTACGTACCTGCGTGACCGAGTTTATGCATCGCACATATCTAGAAGATGCCGGCGCCATCTACCGATCACCCAGCGCCTGCCATCCCATCCATCTTCAAAGCTTATATACCTACCTCTAACAGCGTTCTCCCACAGCCTCTTACCAGCTGCCGCAGCCTCCTTTCCCCTGACGCCAGTCCGTGCCTGTTTGACACGGGTTCATTCGAGGCCGATGCCCACAGACGTGTAAGGATAGAGAGAGGAGGGAAAGGTAGGGACATAGCGCGGATGTTGCGGCCAGGCTTTCCGGACGAACGTTCTTTGAAACATCCTGAGGGGGAATACAATACAAACACAAACACAAACACAAGCGATCCCGAAGCGAGGTCCAGAGCCGAGGCGGTAGTGTGGTAGCAGGTATTGTGAACAGAATTCATACTGAAGCTGTATTTGATATGCTTTGTATCCCATCTTTTTTATTGTCCCCTTATCTTTTTTCCCGGCTTCTCACTCTTATTGCTACCTGCGTTCCTGCCACTTGCTATTGATTTGACTTCGTGTAGGCCTATCCCAATCATGCTGCCTACCCTCCTACTGCCCACATCACTCCTCAGCTTCTCATACCTCACTCTCACCACCCAGGCCGCGCCTTTCACATTCGCCAACAACCCCTTGGGCAACAACTTCCCGAGTCCAAGCCCGCAACAGATCCTCGATATCCAGACGCAGGCCCACGGCAGCCTTCCCGCCGGCGCCCCGCCCGCCACCGTCAAAGATGACACGTTGAAGTCCCTCCGGCTCATCGCCTTCAACGAGATGTTTGAAACGGCCTACTTCACGTCCCTGCTCGCCAACATCACCACCAATGCCACGGGCTACACCTTTGCCGACCCGGCGGACCGGGCCTCGAAGATCGCCGCGCTGACGGCCGTGCAGGCGCAAGAAGAGTTGCACGTCCTAAACGCCAACGGGGCCCTGGCGAACTTCAAAGCGGCCCCGATCCAGCCGTGCCAGTACCAGTTCCCGGTCAGCACCTTCACCGAGGCCGTCGGGCTCGCGGCGACCTTCACCGACGTCGTGCTCGGCACGCTGCAGGACGTAACGTCGCTGCTCGGAGCGTCGGGCGACGCGGGCCTGATCGGCGGCATCACGTCCGTGATCGGGCAGGAGGGCGAGCAGAACGGCTACTACCGCAGCGTGCAGGGCAAGATCCCGTCTGCGCTGCCCTTCCTAACGGCGAGCACACGCGCGCTGGCCTTCTCCGCGCTCAACCAGGCCTTCGTCGTGCCGGGCTCCTGCGACGCCGCCAACATGGCCTCCATCGACCTGCCCATCTTCGGCACGCTCAGCATCGACACCAAGGACATCAAGCCCATGGCCCAGACGCTGGACTACAGCATCGGCGTGCGGCCCACGCGCGGCGCCATCATGGGCGACCAGGCCGGGCTGGGCTACGAGTGGCTGAGCGTGGTGTACATCAACGGGCAGAACAAGCCGGCCGTGCAGCAGATGCAGAACGTGCGCCTGACGGCCGACAAGGTCCAGTTCCAGGCCAGCTTCCCCTACGAGGCCGGCACCTTCGGGAACGGCTTGACCATTGCGGTGCTGGCGCGGAGCAACGGGGACCTGACGAGCGTGGAGGGCGTGACGGCGGCGACGGTCTGGGGGCCGGGGCTGATTGAGATTAACTGAGCTAACTGTGAGGGGGCTGTCGTCTGAGCTTCGTTTCGTTTTTGTTTTGCTTCGGTTCGTTTCTGCAAAAGATACTAATACCTATACTTACTTATACACGTACGGGAGACGTGGGAGTTACGGCGCTCGGATCGCTGTCGGAGGCTTGCTACTCAAGTGCTCTCCAACCACCTAATACCCAGGAGAAATAAATCGAATAAAGTACTATTGTCTATTTACTCTCTCTCACACAAGCAGCGGCTGGTACGGCGTTAAGGTTACAAAGACCAGAGAGTCCAGAATATCATATTTATACTTATATCGATTTACACAGATCCATTCATAAATTTGAAAATAGACAGCAAATCTCAGAACAGCATGCAACGATCAATAAATATATAAAAAATAGATGAAAATGCCAAACCAAGTATCACAGTTCGCTCGCTTATTTTGTTCTTAACCCTCCCCCCTATTTCCTTTCCCTTCCGTTCGTCGCTTTTGATTCCCCTTTTCTCTCTTATCAATATCCACATTGTATTCACGGCTCGTCCGCTCCCGCCTGCTATACGAAAGGCCTCTTTCCATCCCGTTTCGTTTCGTTTCATTTCATCTCATTTCATTCCGTTTCGTTTATTCTACAGCCAAGATTCTCGGATTCGTTTTTGAGTTGTTTTAATCATTCCGTCTTCCGTTTTCATCGCGTGCTCGTTTTTCGTTGTCCGATTCATCCGATTTCCATTACTCGTCTCATCCTCCTTCGCACAATCGTATCCTTGAACTTCGTAAAGCAAGCTTTGTATGCATGTATGTATATCGTATAGCTTTCAGTAGACTCTTCCACCCTCCTGGGCCTCTGGGGGTTACCCAAGCTTACTATTTGTACCCGAATTTACCTATATGTAGGTAAGCTATGAGCAAAACAACATTCTTTATTTCTATTATATGTTTGCTGTGTGCTTATCTATCTATCTATCTGTTTCTCTATCTACTTTCCGCACTCGCCCCAGACGTCTATCATTGTAAAGTTCTGCGGCGATGTTAGTTACCTTTTGCTTTCACTTTCTCCATAAGGTCTTTAGTAATTTCAAGCCGAGATGTATATAAATTGGAACGATAGATAGATGGAGTGGGCTACTTGCTTACCTTATTCTCTATAGCTCAGCGTACTCTTCTCACCGAAACAAATTCAGAGCTGCGGCGAGCGAGCGACGTTCAACCACTTACTTACATGTCTGCTAAAAGAGAGACTGCCAAGCTTCGCGTCGCTATAGATAGCCTTCTCAAGGAAATAAATTATCAAAAATATAAAACGAGCCTCGAGCCCTAGTAGTAAGCAATAAGTCAGCAGCTAGCTTCGCGCTATCCTTCCGCCAGCTGGCTTGCTTGCTTGCTACCTACCATCTTGATTCTCGAGAGTCGGCCAGTAATCATTCATTGACTAGCTGGCGAGAATTGAAGCACTCAGAGAGTCGGAATGCAACACCATACCATACATATAAAATTCTATACAGTATACACACACCAATCCACGTTATCAAGCAAGCTAGCTCTAAAAGAATTCCTTCCTTTCCTCCTTACCTGACCTTGAGCTTAATCCACACGCCACGCCACGCCCGCCTGCCGCGTCCATCTTCCAAAGAGCCAACGAAGTTCTGAACTCACCAATCGCTAGCTAGTCCGATCGATCCATCAATAATATCGAATCGATCCGCAATCAACTCTCTTCACTACCCTGATATAATGATAATCATATCATTATACTTTTCACCCATCAATCAATCAATCAGCATTGGAGGGAGTCCCGCCCTCATATCACAACTGAAATCTTCCCAGCTTTGCCGCTTGGCTGGTGGATTTAGAGATGACTTCTGATCGCTGCAGGGCAAATGTTTGTTCACAACACAACACAACACAACACAACACACATAGTTTGGTAGCGTAGCGTATCAGATTAGATCAGATTGAGCTGCTATCTGTGTGGTGGAGCGGAGATGCAAGGAATCGAATCGTTCCCTGGAGACTGAGGACCTCTCGGTTGCGGTCGTCCCCTTTATTTTTAGATTTTGAATATGCATGCGATATTCGTACAGACATACATACCTATATATATACATACATGTATACTCACTTACTTACCTATTCACTCAATCGCGCTAAGAAGAGGGCTACGAAGAGGGCGAGGAAGAAAAAGATGTGAAAAAGGTGCCTCTAACGCTGATTGATACTTTTACATTTCCATCCGTAAACCTATCCATCGATCGATCTGTCGAGCCCTCGAGCCCTCGATCCAAGCAAGCAAGTATCCTCCCTTCCTCCCCCCACCCTACTCAAGACACCCACATTCTCCCTTCTTCCCACCAAACCGCCATCTAATCTCCAAACTCGGACACCCCCACGCAATCTCCGGCCGGCTACACTGCAGCAGCACGCCCCAGAGCCGCTCAACCGTCAAGCCCAGGTACGGCCTCTCCAGCCCGTCCGGCGCCCCATACACCTCCCCCGGGCGGAACCGGCCTCGGCCCATCTCCCCCGGCAGCACGACGGGCAGCTTCTCCTTCTTGTGCGCCCAGGCGTTGCTCAGGTCCTCATTCACGAGGCCGTCGTACAGCATCTCCCAGACGTCCTTCTTCACGCCGCGGATGCGCGCCGCCGACGCCACGAAGTTATTGCCCCGCGTCAGCATGACCGAGCCGCAGTGAGGGGCGGGCGATACCCCCGGCTCGTCCGGCCGGCTGGCCGACCACATACTAGGGACAAGGTGGAAGGAGTCTTCCCAGCCGAGCGAGTCGAAGCACGATTCGCAGCGACAGGCTTCCTGCTCGCCGAGGTGCAGGAAGCCGGTCTTGGGGGTGGCGTCCGGGAGCGGGAAGCCCATGGGGGTGAAGTAGTCCAGGAAGCGTTGGAGGTGGAGGCGGGTCTGCGCAGCGGTGGCCGTGGCCGTGGACAGGAAGATCGTCTGGACAGACATGACGGCCCACCTATCGATGATGTGGTGGAGGAAGGTGGCTGTGACGCCACCAGTGTTGTTCAAAGTTTGGATGGACAGGTCGCCGCCGAATTCGCCTCTGATGAATTGTACTGTGGCGTCCGTCATGCTGAAGCTGGGGTCTTTGCTGTAGACCGTGACCCGTGGGCTCAGCCAGGAGATGAGGTGCTGGGTGGGGAAAAGGTGGACCAAGTCGGCGATGGCCTCCACGGGATCGCCCTCGGAGTGTGCAATGATCACATCGAAGGACCGGAGTTGAGGAGCCCGGTAGAGGGTGTCCAGCATGATCGTGCTGGGGTCATGCCAGGTCTTGAGGTCATGCTGGTGCGCAACCGTATCGATCAAGTACATGGCATTGCAGCTGATCAGAATGGCAAAGATGACGGTCGACGTAGCGAGGAAGAAAAGTAACTGCCATGGCTCCGTATGGAGCGGCAGCTGTCTGCGTCTGAATAGCCGGAGGATGAGGTTCAAGAGTCGCGGTGGGTAATAGCCAATGTGTCTTGGTCCAACGCAAACGACATAGATCAGCGTGACCGGGATGACCTGTAGCCACTCGACAAAGTTCCTCTCCTGCCCAAAGACTCCAATGGCAAGGGTAAAGAAGCCAGCTTGGAGCGTGCTCGCTACTGCATCCGTGGCCGCCGCCGACGGGTCTTCCAGCGCTCCTCCGACGTGAACCTTCGACGTGAACGGATACGCGCTATTCATCGCGCTGCCAAAGACTATCAGCAGCAGCACCCCCGGACCAAGATACAGCAACTTGTGCGCCACGTCCCACGACCCGGCGATGTGCGAAGCCGCCGTGACATTCTCGTACTTCGAGGTCGCAATGCCCGCCACGAGCATGGGAGCGAGCCCCGCCAGCAGGTAGGCGCGCAGCGGACCGTCCCAGCTCTGGGGGCCCTTGGGCTCAATCCTCGGTCGTACACAGGCAACGACCCTCGAGAGACTGGCGAGAGCGAATCCAGCTGCAGCGAATACCAAGCTCCGGTTGCTGAGTCGGTAGTCAAACATCACGGGGGGGAGGACTCCGAGCAGCACGCATACGACCTTGTAGAAGTACCGTATCCCGCAGCTCAGGTCCCGGGGCAGTATCCGAACGATATAGGCCATACGGAAGAACAGGCTGTCGGTAACATAGGTGGCGATGGGCAGCATGGCCAAGACTGGAAGATTCGGGGAATGCTGCAGGGCTTGGGCACCGAGGAGCATTGCTAGCGACGCAATGGACGAGGACACGATGGTCCGGACACCGACGAGGAAGGATTCGGACAAGGAGTATGCGTCGCTTGGTTCGGAGGCTTTGGGAATCCAGAAGGTGCGGAGTTTGAGGAGCAGCAGCGTGAGGGCTGCCATGGCGTAGGCGCCGAGATGGAGGAGGAGCGTGAAGTAGAATGCTAGACAACATCAGAAGGCAACCCAACGCAGTCGATGGAGATGGAGGTAGAAATGGAGGTAGAGATGGAGGTGGAGATGGAGACGTAGAGGGTGAGGGTGAGTTTTATATTATATCAAATCGCAGCGGTACTCACGATACGCTATTTCCCAAGTCAGCACGTGCATCTATCTTCAGAGGCAGGGGGAAGAATAACGACGACGACGACGACGACAACAAACAACAAGAACATAGGGAAGAGGAGGGAAAAGAACTCACGGAAGGCTCCTCTCAGAAGTATCCTCCCATTGAGCGTCGCAGCGGTCGCAAGCACCACCCAGAGCACACCCTTTGCACTCGCACTCCTCATCTTCGGCAAGGCATCTTCATCTTCATCTTCATCCTCATCCTCATCCTCATCTTCATCTTCATCGTCATCCTTATCTTCAGCCTCAATCTCAATCCCAGTGTCACTCTCACTTCCTCCTCTCTCACTTGCCCTCTCGCTCTCGCTCTCATGCTCGTCCAGAAGCTGCATCTTCACGTCCTCATCCCTCCCTCTCTCCTCATCCCTCCCGAGAGCCCGCCGCTGAGGAACCCAGCCGGCGCTCAGCATTTCTCTGTCTTTGTCTTCTTCTTTTCTTCTTTCTTTCCTCTCTTCCTTTCCAATTCTCAATCCCAATCCCAATTCTCAATCCCAATCCCAATTCCAATTCCAATCCCTTCCGTCTCTCCCAGCTCCCAACACCCTCCTTCCTTCCTTCCTCTCTCCCCCTTTACCCACGACGTCCGTCGCGTCGCGTCGTGTCACGAGACCAGATCACACTTCCCCTTTCCTCCCTTCCCTTCCTTCCTCGGTCTTCCTTTCCTCTCTTTGCTCTCTTTCCTTTCTTCCTCTCCTTTCTGGAAAGAAACAAAAACCAGCCAACGTTCACACCTCTTTCCTTTCTCTTTCACAACCCCTTCCAAGAGCCAAAAGCACGCCCGGCCTGTCTTCTCTCTCAGTGCTCTTCTTCACGAGAACAACGAAAGAAGAAGTAAGGAAAGGAAACCGAATAGATCACTCGCTCACTCACTCGTTCGTCGATGTCGTGTCGGCGTTTGTCGTTGTCGTTGTCGTTGCCGTCGTCATTATGGGTAACGATTATTCTTAACCCCTAAAACACCCAAAAAGTCTAAAGGTCGCAAAATAAACACCCCGTGGAAACAATCTACGGCGGAACGGTTGTGGGGCCCCGCTAAGCCTAGTTCGACCTAGCCCGACTTCAGCTTCTAGACCTAAACCCTAGCTGCCGCGTCTGACAGCAGCACCCCGGTTGGGGTTTCGGTTTTTCAGTTGGGTACCTACTAGTACAACCTACTTACTCGGTAGTATAGTCTACATTGTAATCTCGACCGGAGATGTAGGTGGCCGAATGAAATTTGAGACAGATTATGCAAACTGCCAACTGGAAAAAACTACGTTTTCGATTGTGCTACTACTTCTACTCTAATACTCAGCTTAGATGATATTCGAACACTAGGTATCGCAGTGTGCCACCTCTTCGTATACGTTGTACTTGTACCGTAGTAGTACGTAGTATATCCCCAGAGAGTTTGATTACTCATCTTCTCTTGATCGGCGTCGTACCCAGTTCAGGCCCATAAATCGTAGAGCGGTGGTTTCTGAATGGCCCAAAGCCCTGTCAACTCGATTGCACAGACTAAATACTGACCTAAAGATGCTTTTCAAGGCTGGATTCTTAACAAGTTGATTGGTTTAAGCCGTGGTAAGATCCCTTGCAAAAATATACTTTCGACATGTATTCATGGGTGGGGATGGGGGAGAGTAATGCCTTACGTAGTACCTTACGTACCGAATGCAAAAGCTGTACGTAGTACTTCCTACTACTACGTCCCAGGCGTAAGTATTACCCCTCGAGGATAGGGTAACCAGGGGGTTTAAGATGAAAACCAAACTTTGGAGGCACCCTCGAGGGGTAATACTTAGGGCCTGTACCATGGTACTTCTACTACCGGCATGTGGCGAGGCGAACTACTCCGTAAGCCCCGTGTCTCAATCGGGCCTTCTATTTCTCCGGTGAAGAAAGTGCACCGCGATCGAAGGTACCGGTATCGTGTCTATCTCGCATTATATGGATTATCGTATTGAAATTTTACATGCCCTGCTCTCCACTTTTCCCAATTATATCAACAAAAGTATTGCATCTAAGTAATGGCAGGGGTCCAGCCGATCTCTCTCCGTACCCTTTCCCTTCCTTCACAATCGCTTAGAGTACGAACACGAACACAACAATAACAATACAGTAGGACTGACGCTGCGGCGAGATATATAAATAAAAAAGCTACTTGTAAATGACACTGTCCTTGGTCCCTTTGTCAAAATGTTCTTATTACCCTTCTCGCTCGTATTTCAGACGTACACACACCAGGCCAAGATCCACACTACCAACTACAACTAATCTTACACATCTCTCGAAAACGAGAAAAAGAGAGAAAGAAAAAACGCCACCCGTACACACACAGAGATTTTGTCGGATATGCCTTCCTTTCCGCTCACTCTGCCAAACGAACGCCTGCAATGCACCCCACGCCCGATCAACTCCTCCGATCGACCTTCCCTTCGCTTGCCCTCGACGCCATGATATCTCTAGATTGTCACCTTCTCTGGGTCTCCCGTCTCCCGTCTCTCGTCTTCCGTCTCTCATCTTCCATCTCCCCCCCTCCCCCCCCCCCCACCCCTACACGCAAGTCCACTCGGCAAAGACGCACCATCGCGCGCTCCGATCCGCCAGCACCAGTCCCCTCCAGACGCCCCTCTCCCCAACCTTGATAATAGTCTCCCACGTCCCCCCATCCCCCTTCTCAATCGCCATACTCGTACTCTGCACCTTCTCCTCCTTCCGCATCAGCCTCAGGACCTTGCCCCCAGGCGCTTGTATGGCCAGTTTCGCAGGTTTCTTAGAGGCGTACGTGCTCGGGTTGGATCCCGAGCCCGAGGCGGAAGAACTGTTCAGAGACATGGCGGAGCTGGGTCGGATGAACGGGATGGGGGAAGCCCCCCCAGGATTCGGAGAGGCAGGCCCAAGAGAAGACGGATGTTGGCGGATGGCAAAGACAAAGGTATTGTTCAGTGCAAGTCGCTGACACTGCGGCTGCGCAACATATAAGTCATGGCGCTGAGCATGTGGAGTCGGATGGCGTGTCACGAATTCGTAGGCTGGGTTTTCGCCAATGTGAATGATGGGCAGAGCGAAAGCCATCGGATGAGGAATGTCCTTGATCGAGTGCATGAGACCTCGTTTTCCGGCGTAGATTTTGAGCGTGCCTTGGCCTTCGTCGCCTGGGAGGAGAGCCTTGACGGTATAGCGTTTCTGGCCCCCAATCCATTCTGCTTGAGCCAGAGCTCGCTTCGTCACCGTCTCGCCGCTTTCAAAGAGATCACCGTCGGCGTCGCGCTCGAACGCTCGAGCCTCAACCTCGGCAACGCATTCGATGTCTGCCGGCACGGTGAACTTGACATGAACTTGTTCAAGATCCTCAACGCGCACCAGACTCGTGTCGTATTCTGCCATTTCAATTGCATTCTTGAAGAATGACGGGCAAGCACATGGCAATGCTAGCAGTATCTCATGCGCCATCGGTGGGCACAGATGCTGCTGGTGATGTTGCTCTGGAACGTGAGTCCAGCAGATCTCCCATGGCCGGGCCAGAAACCACCAGCTTTCGGCAACTTGTCCACCAGCGCTGGAATAGAGTGCCCGTCGCGGATGCGAAGGTGCAGCAAGTGCGCAGTCCATAATCCGCCACTCCCCATCTACGATGACTGCGTTCCACCAATGATTTGGTCGAGGCATGAGGGTCAACTCGGGAACCTCGCCTGGCGTCTTCAGATAGCCCCTGATGACCTCTGCATGAATGCCAACCGCGGCGCACATCTCCATGACCAGAATGGCGACCTCTTCGCCGCATCCTCGTTTCGTTTGGATGACCCTCCTGGAATCAGGCTCACACTCGAAATCCTCTTCCCATGTGATCTTCTCGCTAACCCATGTGAAAATGGCTCGTAAACGCTGTACGTCGCTTCGGTACGGTCTGCAAACAAACCCCGTCGCGAGGCTGATAGGGTTGGTCATAGGCGGAAGGCTGTTGATGAACCGGGTGTTCTTATCGACCAGGGTGAGATTCACGGCCTGGAAGTTCGTCGGCTCTGGAATGGGATTGCCATCTGCACCCTCATCTCCGTCACATTGCTCGTAAAGTTCGGCGACTGGGCTGATGGCGGGGTAATCCATCATTTGGCACCGCTCTTTCCGTTCCACCCGCTCGATGTGGCTCAGTGAATTGGACCGATTAACATCCCTCCGAACTTGGACCCAGTCATTGCCAGAATTCCCACCAAGGCCCATATCAGTTGCCGGGTGGTGACCGTAGCTGTTCCCATAGCTATTCCCATAGCCGCCAGCGATCGATGTGACGCCGTTCGGCATCTTGGTGGGTACAGCAGGCCTCGGCGATTCTCCTACGGCGATGCTGCTTCTGGCACTCGCAGCGCCCGTCTTCGCCGACTCTATGATCTTCTTGAAGAATCCGCTCTTCTTGGCTTTGGGCGCTACCAATCCTCCCAACATGCTGTCCGATTCGCCATGTGATCCTTGCCATCCTGCTTGTGACTGCGGTCTAGGGGGGTTAGAAGCGTGACTGCTGTGGTATGAGATACCAGTCACCGGGGTCTCGGGCCTCTCTCCGAAATCGACTTGGCTGCCATGTCCGCCTGTGAACCTGTCCTTTCTCGACCCAAAAGCACTGTGTGCTCGAGCGCGTTCTGTCAGCGCCTCCTTTCTCCTAGCATAACTTCCTGCGCTCGTAGATGAAATACCACTAGCGGACGCTCCGCTCATCAGACTTCGATCAGTCGACGCCGTGGTGTTACTTCCATTGGTAGTCGTGCTCCGAGTGCCGGACGATGAAGAGGTAGAGTTGGTCTTGGTAGTGAAGGTACGCTCAAGCATTGACCGGCCAACATCATACGCAGATTTGCGATGTCGTAATTTGGACGGTTGACTTGACTGTTCTCTCTCCCCCATGGAAGATTTGGGTCGAGGGTACGAATTCATCTTTGGCGGGACGGCTGGTCGAATTTCATCATGGTCAGGTGGCATCGGACTACTTGCGTGCATCTTGCTCAAACGGTTTTCCATCCTTTGCACGTAGTTACTCAACTGAGGTGGGGGCTGGTCAACGTGTCGTGGATTAGGAGAACCCAAGAACAGTTCATCTCCATTGTCATAAGGACTCGCTGCCCTAATTCCCGTTGCGGTATTCGGTCTGGGAGGAGCGGCCCTTCTAGCCATGACATATGTCTGATCAAAAGCTTCTGGAGACCAAGGATCCACCGGAGCTTCGGGTGATCTCGTATCTCTGGACATTCCCATGTCTGCTAAGGATGTCATAACATCGTCCATGGCGCTGCGGAGAGGCGAGGGCGTCAATCCAGTCTCTCGTGGCGAGGGCGGACATGGCGAAGCAGCACGAGAAGTGTGATAGCCATTAGGTCGGTGGTCAAAGGAGTCTGTGGATCCATGCGGAGTGTACGCCACTCGGTGCGGTGGGGGAGGGGGGGGAGGGGACGAGCCGCCCACGTCGAATGGTGGATGTGGAGATGCCGCACGAGAATGGGGACGATGTTGGAGGGACGGCGCCGGCGAAGGTGCTCGAGATCCATAACCATAGTTCATCGGAGGCGCTGGGGAGGGTGCACGACTATCTCCATACCCATTGTGCACTGGCGGAGCTGGGGATGGTCCTCTCGCCCCATAAGCATTGGGCATCGGTGGCGCTGGTGAAGGCGCTCGAGATCCGTAACCGTAGTGCGTAGGAGGAGCAGGCGACGGTACTCGATAATTGTACCCATTGCGAGTAGACGGAGGAGAAGGAGCTCGAGATCCGTAGCTGCGAGAAAGATTGCCTTGTGAGGGCGTTTGCCTGGGACTCGGTGAAGGTCTTCTGGCTCTGGCTGCCGCCGCTTCCCTCTCCCTCTCTGCCTTTCGCTCGGCTTCTCTCTTCTGGGCCTCTGCTCTCTGTAACGCTGCTGTATCCGGCTGTGCGTATGATTGAAAGGGTTTCCGTGCAGATTTGGGTTTCGGCTTCGCCGCAAAGGGATTGTTGAAGGGACTCGTACTGGCCGTTCGTTCGGGCATCGGACTCGAGCTTTTGACAGTCGGCCGAAAGTTGTCGGGCAAGACTTCGACGAAGTTCGACGGGAACAGTCCCAGCATCCGCTTGTCTCTGAAGAGCCTCCCCATCCACCACGACCCATCCCCAGCATTTAGACACTCTATCAAGTCGCCTTCGATGAATCCCAGGTCGCGTTTTGTCTGGTGAGATTGTCAGCGCGTAGAAGCCCCAGGTCCATCTTGGCATCCTACCTCTGCCGTGTAAGAGAAGACGGCCCTGCACCACACGGGGAAGCGTGTGGGCAATGGGGGGGGATCGGGCATCTTTGACGGGCGCTCAGCGGCGCTTTATATGACGGGCGACACACAAGGCGGCATGGACGGGCGCGTGGCGCGAAGATGGTTTGATGATGGTGTTGTGGCGGAGAAGGAAGGGGAAGTATAGCAATATGCAAGCAAGATTGAAAGCGTTGCGTTGGAAGAGTAGGGCTGGGAATTGAAAAGTGAGAATTGAGAATTGAGAATTGAGAATTGGGTTGGTAGGTATGGGCGGATAGGTATGGATCGGAACGGATGTGAGGTAGCGTAGCAGCAGTGCAGTTGAGAAGGTTCGTTGCCCTACTCGGTACTTCACAGCCTTCACAGCCTTCACAGCCTTCACCGAGCTATTCGCGGAAGTCAACAAAGCAGAGAGGGTTCAGGTCCAAGCTCGAGCTCCGTCGTCTCGTCGAGCCCTCTCCATAGCAACGGCTAACCTCGGTTGGGTCTAGCGTCAGCGCCCCACAATCGCTATCGCAATCACATCCTTATCCGTATCAATATTTCCGTACGGAGAATATCAGTATCCGCAACTCTCTCTCCAAGAAGGAAAAAAAAAACCCGACCTGCAAGATCAAGCCTCCGTACCTTCAGCTCGCCCTTGAAGCTATTCCCATATTTATTCACCCTGAATTTCTTCCAAAGACATCCCTCCCGCTGTCTTGATAGCTGTTTGTTCACGGCCATATCATAGCACCACCCGCGGGGCGGTCCGGGCTTTGTTGACAACGCCCTACTTTACTCACTAAGAGAGGTGTGTTTGTTGTCATCGGCAACCGGCAGGAGGCAACAAACGAATCAACCCCATACATACAATCAAATCGCACGTTACTTTCACCACAACCGAACTGCAAACAAACAACTTGACATAAAAACACCAAACTCCCTTCTCCTCTCTTCCCTCCCCCTCCACTGCTCCTTCTCAGAATCATTTGCCCGTTCGTCGCATCTCAAGAACCCATCGCTCTTGCTTTGCCCAACTGGCAAGATGTCTGCGGAAGGGGCCATGGCCAACCAATACTCCGTCCTCGAGGAGCTCGGCTCTGGGAGTTTTGGAACCGTCTACAAGGCAATTGACCGCTCTACCGGCGACGTGGTTGCGATCAAACATGTATGTTCATGTTGAAAACTCGAACGCCGCACCGGCGGAAACATGACTAACTGACACTGACTGACTGACTTCTACCAGATCGACCTGGAATCCAGCGACGACGATATCCTAGAGATCCAGCAGGAGATATCCGTTCTCAGCACCTGCGCCAGTCCTTTCGTTACGCAGTACAAGGCGAGCTTCCTCCGCGGGCACAAGCTATGGATTGTCATGGAGTACCTCGGAGGGGGATCGTGCTTGGATTTGGTAGGCTTACCGAAGTCCACTCTCCCTAATTTTATTGACAGTTGGCTACAGCTCAAACCCGGGTCCTTTAACGAAGGGCACATTGCCATCGTGTGTCGCGAGCTTCTCCTCGGTCTCGAATACCTACACCAAGAAGGGAAGATCCACAGAGACATCAAGGCCGCGAACGTGCTGCTGTCGACGACTGGAAAGGTCAAGCTGGCAGACTTTGGGGTCGCTGCGCAGCTTACCAACATCAAGTCGCAACGGAATACCTTTGTCGGTACCCCCTTCTGGATGGCCCCGGAGGTGATCCAGCAGGCTGGCTACGACTTCAAGGCGGACATATGGTCTCTGGGAATCACGGCAATGGAGCTGGCCAACGGCGAGCCCCCGAATGCCTCGATCCATCCCATGAAGGTTCTCTTCCATATTCCCAAAGCCCCAGCACCAAGATTGGAAGGGAACAACTACAGTAGGGAGTTCAAGGACTTTGTGGCGCAATGCTTGGTGAAGGATTGCGACAGACGTCCTTCTGCGAAGGAGCTGCTGAAGCACAAGTTCATCAGAGGCGCTGGAAAGGTCGAGGCGCTACAGGAGCTCGTGGAGAGAAAGCAAGAATGGGACGGAGGTCGTACACGACCTTCTCATCCAAGATTTTACGAGGAGACTCTGTAAGTCCGCGATGTTTGGCAACTGGAATACCTGCTAACGGTTTAGAAACACCATGACTCCCAAAAATGAGCCAGACGAATGGGTCTTTGATACTGTCAAAGCCGCAACGATAGCCTCGCGCAAGAATACCACGAAGCGACGCAAACTATCCGTCATTCATGCAAATGGTCAGGGCGTACAGAACGGCGCAGAGGAGGCCATGAAACGACTCGATCTCAAAGACGCGCCTCTGGAGTACTCCTCTCCCTCTCCAGCCACCATGCGCAAAAGCACCGTCCGCAGGCAACCATCGGTTGGGCAAATCATAACCCCAACCAAAACCCGACAAGTCAGTAGTCAGATAAAGCGGCCTCTTCAACCCGACATGAGCTTTGGTAACACGGGATCCACTGTGCGACTCTTCCGCCGGGTTTCTGACAATTCCACATTGGCGCAAGTCAGCTCAGACGATGCCGCTCCGGCCGTCACCCGAGACGAAAATCGACCTCCTTTGACCGAAACAGTGACCAAGGAGGCTGTATTAGGCCGACGAGTCTTCAACAAAATTGTCGATCCAGCTTTTCAAGAACTCCACGCTCAAACTGGAAACCAAGCGAAGCGAGAAGCGCTATCCCGTCTGGCAGATGCTTGGAGTGCACTAGACGCAGTAGACTCCGAAGGCGAATACCAACTGCTCAAAGCTATGATTGAGCGCGTCCAAGGAGATTCCAAGCTCTCGGCCCTTTTGTCGCCTCCCAAAGCTTCTACGAGGGATGGGACTCCCTTGGCAACACCCCAAAAATCGCCAACAAAGCTTGTGCTTGCCCAGAATAACCCGCACCTCAAGTCGCATCGCCGAAGACAGACAAGCTTGATGCCTGAAGCTGAAAAGCTTGTCAATTTGCCTGGACAGGTTATCCCGGGTATGGAGCATACCAAGCAGCTTGCAGACGTCTTGTACGGACGATGGACCGACGGACTGCGAAGCCGCTGGCCTGCTGTATAATTTTTCGCACTCGGCATACTCCGGCCCATATAGAAGACCGAGCGCGCAATAGCATTGGCGGAGGTGTACAAAAAAAAATTAGCCTTGTCTATCTTTCATCGTGCACAAATTGAGATCCGCGAACATAGAGAACAAGGGAGGACGGAGACGGGCAAGGAGCGAGGGGAGAGGAGTTGTACAGCAGAGATGGGATCAACTGGACCAATCTGAGCGGGCGAGCTGACTGTGGAGAGCGGAAAACGACTGATGATAATGCCTTTTCCTTTCGTACTGTGTCTACTCTTTCCTCTTGGGGTGGTTTGCCTTGGTTTGGGCAGTTCGCTCTTTGCAATGGATGGACGGACGGGTAGCTGGGTGGCTCGGTAATAGCTGCTTGCAGGAGCCGGAATTTTGTAAAGCAGGTCTGTAGTAATTTTCTTGTATAAGATTTTGAGACAGGTAGCTAGGTAGATGGGCTCGAAACACGAAATCAATTGATTGCATGGTGGACGAACTGTGTTTTTCGTAGAATGGACTGATCAATAACGTCTTGGGATAGATGGATTTTTTGAAAAGAAAAGGAGGGGGAGGGATAAGATCAAGAATAAAGTACAAGGTACTGATGAAGTTCGCGTGATTTGCGGATTTCCAGATTCAGATTCTGAATTAGCCGAGAACTTGAAGCAGAAGAAGCCCCCATGCGTTCGAAATGCAGGCATGCATGCATGCCGTGCAACTGTCGCTCGCTCGCTCGCTTAAATACGCGAGGCCCGGAGTGGCGTTTCTTGTTCGTTATTGATGGAGGAAGGAAGAGGGAAGTGTTGTTATTTATTAGCGCTCCAATCAATCAATCAATCGGCTTTGTGTGTTTCAGTTTTTCTCTCTTCTTTTTTCTGTGTTGATACTGCTGGGGGGAAGAGTTTATCCGCTGTAGGTTTGTGATGAGTTGGATATTTATGTTAGGTGGTTGGAGGGTTAGTTAGTTGGTTATGGTATAGGATAGGAGAGGAGAAGGTAGGATAGGAGAGGAGTGAGTGAAGGCTGTTTCTTATTGCCTTGTTATCCCACGCCAGGGGCAGATGTATGTCTGCGCCTCCTCGAGAGAGTAGCCCTGTAGGCTTGCTCTCTGTTCCTGTTCCTGTTTATTACCTCGCGGGGAAAGAAAAACTCTCTCCCGAAGGTCGATCGGCTCGGCTCGTCTCTAGCCAAGGAGAAATTCGTCCAAATTTCGCTGCTGTGAGTGCTATCCAGGTCTTCTGGGCGGGAGATGGGTGAGTGTGTGCATGTCGTGTGGTTCAATTGGAGCGCCGACGACTGGGGAGTCGATCAGCTGTTTGGATTGATGCGCATGTACTGTACGTATGTATGTACATGGGGCCGGCAGACTCTTCTGCTTAGCCAGTCTGCTCTGGGGTCTGGGGTCTGAGGAAGAGATGCTGGGGTATTTGAGAGAGAGAAATAGAGAGAGGAGCATATATAGGTGGGTGGGTGAGAATGTGGGTTTTCTTGAATTTCCCTGCACTTTTCCTGGACTCGTTTATTTTGTTTACTTTTGTGAAGTGAGCTGATCCATGCGATCGGAGCCGAATCGAAACCATGGGCAAGCTGTTTAACATCTCGCTCGCGCTCTTCGCCTGTACGGGGTATGTTTCTACGCACTCATTATCATCATCTAACTACATGTAAATATTCATGATTAGAGGGAAAATGTATATGCTAACAGACGGGCTCAAAGATCATTCCTGTTCGGCTACGACGCGGGCGTCATGACCGATGTTATCGCCTCCCAGAACTTCCTCACGTTCTTCCACACCGACAAAGGCTCGCCGATCATCGGGGCCATCAACTCGACCTTCAATGGCGGCGCCGTGTTTGGCGCTCTGCAGGGCGGCCTCACGATGGATCGGTTTGGCCGGAAGATCACTATCCTGATGGGCTCGCTTATCTGTCTCGTGGGAGCCATCTTGCAATGCGCGGCGCAGAACCTGGCTATGATCCTCGTGGGGCGAATCCTCACGGGGTGGGCTGTCGGGCTGCTCTCGATGGCGGTGCCGGTGTACAATTCCGAGTGCGCGGCGCCCAAGATCCGGGGCTTGATCGTCGGCCTTTCGCAGCAGATGATTGGCATTGGATTTATCGTGTACGTCGCTCGTTTGTTCGTTGCGTCGACCGGTCTCTGATCTCCCATCCCATTCATTCAATTCTTGCCTGCGAGTTTGATAGGTGTTTGATTTGTTGGCTGGCTGACAGTCAGTCAACAAACAGGTCAACATGGGTCGGCTACGGCTCTGGTACAGCCCCGGACTCCAGCAGCATCCAGTGGCGGCTCCCTCTCGCCTTCCAGTGCCTACCCTGTACCATCCTCGCCGCGGGTATCATGTTCATGCCTGAGTCGCCGCGACACCTCATGGAGACGGATCGCGAGGACGAAGCCCTCGGCGTCCTCCGCCGACTTCACTCCACCGGTGCCAATGACAGCGAGGTTCTGCAGGAGTTCCACGAGATCAAGACGACGATTGCGGCCGAGAAGGCCATTACCGTGCCGGGCTGGAGCATCATGTTCACGGTCCGGCAGTGGAGGACGAGGCTGCTGCATGGGATTGCCGTGCAGTGCTTCACGCAGTTTACGGGCATCAGTAGGTCGACGAAGAACCCATGCATGCTGTTGCTGTTGGTGTTGAACTTTGACTTCTCATACTTACATATATATCGCTAGATGTCATCGGATACTACCAGACGACCATGTACGACGCGCTCGGGATCACGGGCAACCGGAACCTGCTCGTCGCTGGCATCTACAACTGCGTGGGTCCACTGGCTAGTAAGTCTGGTTACTCTCACTTGCCTACGTGATATGATATCTCGTGGATCCGATCCTTTCACAACAAACAGCGCGCTCATCTTCTTCATCTCGGTGTATAGATCTCATCTTCATCGTCTTCATGATCGACCGCATCGGGCGCCGCAAGCCTCTGCTCTGGGGCACCGTCGGCATCACCCTCGCGCTCATCTGCGAAGCAGTAGTCAACTCTCAAATCGACACCGCGCACCCCCAGAAGAGCCTCTCCATCGCAGGCGTCTTCTTCCTGTTCTGCGTCACCGTCATCTTCTCCCGCAAGTCCCTCTTCCCTTTCCCTTTCCCTTCCTTTCCCTTTCCTTCCCTTCCCTTTCCTTTACTTCCCCTCCCCCCTTCCCCTTACTCTCTTTCTATTCTGCATGAGCTCTTTCTTCTATGAGTCGTGGATATAATAAATGTATAATATACCAAGTCCCTTACTCACCGGCGCGAGATCCTACACACAACAGTCTCCTGGGGCCCTATCAGCTGGGTCTACATGGCCGAAGTGATGCCCATGCCGATCCGCGCCCGCGGCAACGCCTTCGCGACCGGCATCGGCAACTGGCTCGTCTCGACTTTCTGGGCCCAGGTTGCGCCGACGGCCCTGCAGGAACTCACGTGGAAGTTCTACTTCCTGTTCGTCGGTATGTTCAGAATTCTCGGCAAGCAGACAGACAGTTAGATATGCTAATCGAAGATACTACTCAACAGCATGGAACATGCTCATCACCTTCCCCGTTGTCTTCTTCATCTTTAAGGAGACGAAGCAGGTCTCGCTCGAAGACATCGACCTGCTCTTCGGCGAGCGCGCCCTCGGCACCCTGCCTGACGACCTGCGCAAGAGTGGTAGTGGTATTACGGAGGTCGTTGGTGGAGCGTGATCGAGCACGATCATTATCGTTACGTCCTTGGTGTGCGTGTGCATCTGCCTGTGCAGGATAGGTTAGGCTTTATGGTTATGATATAGAATTGGATGGGCTGGTTGGAGGATAGATCTTGGATAAGGTAGAAAGGGGAAGAGTTCACCTATCCAAATCTCCCAAAGATATATATCCCAAATACAACCTAATCTGATCCAACCCAACCTAATCCAACTCTCATAACTCATCCTATCTCCATTCCGTAACGTAAGACGTAATAATGATATCTCACAAATCCATCTATCCATCGCTTTCCCCCTTTCCCCCTTTCCCCCTTTCTTCCCCCTTGCTCGCCCTTTTCGCTTAAACTTCAAAGCCTTTCTTTCTCCCTTTCTCCCTTCTTTCTCGCCTCACTTCGCTCCGCTTCGCCTCAGATCAGATCAGACCTTCAAATCAACAGAGATCTCCCTCTCCCTCCCTCTCTTTCCTCTAATGTCCTCCAATTTCCCTAATTTCTCCCAACCGCCTCCAATTTTCAAATTAATGGATTCAAAAAAGAAAAAAAAAAAAAAGAGAGAGAGGGGAGATCACCTAAGTCTAAATCTAATTCTACGTCTAAATCTAGACAGCCAGCATGCCAGCATGCCAGCAAATAACCCCCTCATTATCGGAATCCCATCAGAAAATCAAGAGGAAATTATACCTGTACCTCATCCTTCACATCATTCTGCTTCTGAAAAAAAAAAAAAAAAAAAAAAATTAGGAAAGGGAAACGGAAAGGATATAAAGACAACGAAGAGAGGCGAGAGGAGGGGCAGAGTTAGTTAATTGGCTAATAAGACCGTACGTAAGAGACAAGGCAAGCCCAGGAAAGAAAAGTTAGTCGAATATCGTCGTTGTTTAACTGGGAGCTTACGAATAGAGTTCTGCGATATAGATGCTTGCAAGTACTTCTTTCAAGTCCTTTTTCTGCTCGTGGGCTTAACATCCCATCCCTTTTCATTACAGATCCAGCGCGTTTAAAATAGCCTTTAGAATATGCATGAATTTCTCCCCCTCTTCCCTTCCCTCACCTGCCCTTCCCATCCCCTCTCACTCAAGACGCTGCCTTCTTCTTCTCCTCGACCTTCTTGACCTTCAACGCCGGGAACTTGAAGGCCTTACTCACGCCCCCCTTGATCATCTTCCACTTCAGGAACTCGATCTGCGGGGTCCAAGTCAGGATGCCGACCCAAGGGTTCACGTTGTAGTGCAGCTTCAGTACGACATTGTCTGTATTAGCGAGCTTGCCCGTCGGGGACGAGATGGTGTATTTCCCCTTTTGGTTTTTGAGGTCGAGTTTTCCACTGTCCGAGTTTGTCAGCACTTGTTATCTCTAAATCGCGGTACGAGATCTTCCTCTTAGGTCCGCATGCCACCCCCCTATACACGGCCCAATTCCTATCTCTTTCGTGTAGACCCATCCGATATCATCCCACCCCGGAACGGCACCATATACGAAGCGTATGACCTACCGACTTGGATCAATCTTCTTCCCCTTGGCGCTCTTGACTAGTTTCTTCATTGCCGCAGGCCCGATGTTAACCAGATGGTCCGCCGACGGGTTCGTAATGATCGAGTCCCAAATCACAGCTTCATTCGTAACCTCCGTATCCGTCGCGTTCGGCCACGACGCCGACACGTAGACAAAGACTTGCTTGGTGTTCCAGTTGAAGAGCGAAGACAGGTCGGCCTGCAGGTTGAAGCGGATTACGGCGTACTCTTCCTTCTTCACCGAGTAGTAATGCGGGCGGCCTTTAACTCTGTTAGGAGGATTGAAGTGTTAGCGAGTAAGTAAATGGCAAGGGATTTTACTCTTCTGAGAGGGGACTGGGAGAGTGACGGAGGGAGGGATCTGGGAGGGTGCGAGAAGGGGAGGAGTGTCACATACACCTGCACATCCTTCAAATCAACACTGGCGCTGGGTGTCCTCGGCGCCGCGAAATCCGAACATGCAATCAGAGCACCGACTATGAAGGCCACCGTCGTGAAGAAACCAAACACATTCTGGGCGCGAACGACGACGGAATGCATGTTTGTTTGGGCTCCTCCTTTCTCCGTTGGTTCTTCTTTTTCCTTTTGATTTGTTTTATCGCAGAAACTGGGATGAGGTTCTCGAGATGGACTCGGGTTCGGATTGTACTCGGCGAAGAGAATTGGAGAGGAGGAAAAGGGGGGTGCGAGGTGGAAAGTTGATGTGATGCGTAGGTGAGGAGGTTGTTCGTGAGGTTATCCGTAGAGCCCCAACTCGCAAGGCCTGAGCCCGAGTTTAACACGTCTCGTCAAGCCACAGCCTTCCCGGGCTTTGGCTCACGCTAGACACTAGCGGATTGTGGGGTAAGTGAGGCTGAATTTGAGTTTGGGATATTGGGATGATGGGAATGTACCGGTAGTACTCCGTAGACAAATGTTCAATTCAAATATCTATCTTGATATCAGACATATAAAGAGCATCACTTATTGCATTTCCCAGATCTAGCCGTCATCCTGATTCCGACCAGCCTATTCCGGATTCATTCATTCCATTATCATTCCAGCCAGCCCTTGTTCCCAACCGCGATTAAATTAATATTACCCCCCAACTTCCTCACTCCCTCTTCACTTCGCATCACCACCTCGCCCCAACATTGGCCGCCCCAGCACTCATATCCGCAGCTTTACTGAGCAGGTCCCGTCGACTGCACAATAGTCCCATATCCGTGCCCACCACTCTGCACCCGATCACTATACACACCCGGGGCACGCCGCGCCATGAAATGCCCCTCGCGCGCCAGCTCCTTGCGGTGGTAGTATACGTACTCGAGGTAGAAGGCGTGGATGTGGCCGGGGATGTATCTGCGCTTCTGTTAGGTAGGTGTCGGTGGGAAGGGGGAGGGACGGAGGAGAGAATGGAGGAAGAGAATGGAGGAAGAGAGACAACACATACCCAAGGAGCGTCAAGCAGATATTGATCAGCAGGTCGACGCCGCAGCCTGCAACGAGGTAGACGCCTACGGGTGGCACTGCGCGCGCGGTTCTGGTTAATCACGGAGCTTTGGCAAGAGGAGCGGATGGCGCATCGCATCGCATTGCATGCCCAGGGGGAAAAGTTCACGTACGAAGAATAGTGATTAACACTACGAAGAGCGCAGAGACGGCACCCATAGTTGGCTGCTATGGATGGGATTTTGGCTTGTGGTGGATGTCGATGTTGATGGAGGTAGAGGTTTGTCTGGTGGGATGTCGGGTATTATGATTATTTGTGGTGTTGTTAAAGAAGAGAGCTGGTGCTCGGGTATCGATCGAATGAAGAATGTGAATGTGAATGTAATGAGTGAGGTTGGTGGATTAATTTAGGACCGAGAGGGTAGACTGACTGATACCAGCACTAAAACTAGCTTGCAGCAACGGTGGATAGCTGGCCGATGACGTCGTCGAACCAAGCCGAGAGCGAGGTGCCGGGACAACACCCGACTATAGGTATTTTAAAATACATTTACTATGTAGTTTTTACTGTTATTATAGCTGAATTATTCGTTGCGTAATTTTCATCGCAATTTCGCTTTGTTTTGAAAGAATTTAGCGCGGGCCAAAATACGTTCGCCCACTTTAGGAAAGTGCCCCCAAAGCTGCAACGTCAAGTCCCACTACTTACCCTATTACGGCTGCGGTTCTGCTCCAAGCTGTCGGAAGAACGGTGGTCTAACCTGATTGGTAATGGCCCTGTGATCACATGACCAACCTCCCAATATTGTTTTATCCGCGCAGCAAACGAGGAATTCCTAAGAGAATATCTCTTCATACCTTCGTCACGAAATCATCTCCTTCTTCACCAAATCATCTCCTTCAACACCAAAGCATACGAGTGTCAACTATGACATCCGTTGATCCCTTCCTGCAACTCGAGCACGAGGGCTTCGCTCTGCAGCTTCAACTCGAAGAGATCGAAGCTCAGCGGGAGCTGCAATCCGGCAAATGGACTGAGGATAATCCGCCGGACTTTTCAGTAGCATTCGATAACTTCGAAGCCGAGTTGAAGAAGGCGCTTCTGATAGTCGAGGACCTAAAGTTCGCTCACAGCATTGCTAGAGCTGTTGATTCCGATGAGGTGGCCATTGAAGAATCAAGAGCTGAAGAGACACAGTCGATTCAAGATCGAGACTTCGCCCGGAGCCTGAATGAAGATGGAAATCTACCCTCCCAAGATACCATGACCAAATTGCCGGAAATGTCTCGCCTCAGAGCGGAGTCGGTTGACTGGGACCATGTCCTGCGCGCTACAGAAGCATCGACTCTGAGCAACCGGTCCTCCGGCAGCACTGTCGCGGGCCCATCAACCGATTACACTCTCCGCCAGAAAGCCTTCCTTGAGCACTTGCCCCAGCTCAAAGTGGAATGCAGTGTCTGTGGAGAAGTCGTTCATCCTCATGCTACTGTGCGTTTGGCATGCAGCGATGTATATTGCAAGCCGTGCCTCAAATCTTTCTTCCTGCGTGTTGCCAAGGACGAAAGCCTCTTTCCACCAAAATGCTGCCGCCATGCGATTGACATCTCGACTATCGAGGCGGACTTCTCATTCGAGGAGTTGTCTGCCTATCGAAGTGCTGAGCTGGAATTCACCAGCACGGATAGGGTCTACTGCGCTAGGCCGGAGTGCGCCAAGTTCATCCCTATGCCGCAGCGAACAGCGGATCGCGCTTCCTGTGAGGCCTGCGGTGCCGGAATCTGTATGCATTGCAAAGCACCTGCACATGATGGAGGCTGTCCAGCGGATGAAGCAAAGCAGAGCCTCATCAAATTCGCGGATGAGCAAGGCTGGAAACCCTGTTTTGGATGCGGTGAAATGGTGTTCCGGTATGAGGGCTGTGACCACATGACGTGAGTGATACCTTCTTTCTGCCACTCGTTGTGCAAGCAAAAAGCTGATCCAAACCAACAGTTGTAGATGCAGCGCCGAGTTCTGCTACAGATGTGGAGTCAAGTGGAAGGAATGCCCATGTGGTGACTGGGTGCCGGAACTACTCGATCGAAGAGCTCAGCAAATTGTTGACAGAGAGGCTGAACGTCCCTTGGCACCTGCTATCCGTCAACAGCGCGTGGTGGCTATGGTACAGGAACTAGAAACAAACCATGAATGCGACCATAGTGGCAAGTTCACCAGACTGGAAGGATCGCGCCGCGGCAAGGTCTGCGAGAGATGTGGCACGAGACATTGGAAGTACATATTGTCTCGCAAACGTTGCCATATGCTGGCTTGCGAAGACTGTCGACGCCACAGACTATAGGTCCTTCAATTGAGATACAATAAGGGAAAGGCAGGCAGGGCGATGAGCGCCTAACGCTGATAGTTGCACTCATTATGCAGATCTTCTAATAAACAAACCTTGTTGTTAACATATCGCTATCTCGCACATAACCGCCGAGAGAACGGAGAGGGCTAAAGGCCAATCTGCCGCCTATCAACTTCTTCCTGATGATTTCCGCCTCGTGAACTAATTGCGTACGAGAGATGCACAGCAGCAGCGTTATCGTCTTGAACTATCTTCCTACCCTTAACGAACCTCCAGTTAGTTCACTTCTTTCCATTCAGAACTAGCCAACGTCAAATAAACGGCTCATATATACCTGGGCTGAATTAGTTTCGGACGCTTTCTTTACTTTACCTCTTGTGCATGCATCGATCCAACTTCCGATTAAATCGACTGACTGCGGAGGTGGTTGGAAAGAGTATACCAAAGGCCATCGAATAATATGATCAAGAATGAAGGTTTTTTGTTAAGGAGGTCGATCTTGGTAGTAGTGATAACCGGCTCCGGCAGTCAAATATGGAGGTAGGTATAGGGGCATCGTACATCAGTGTGCCAGCGGTCCCATACTATACGGAGAATCTCCGAGCGATGAGATAGATATTCCTTTGCAGCTCCAGAAGCTATCCTTTCCAACGGCAATCTCCAAGTGCCCGTGAGATCATCATCATACCTAGCACACGACCCCCTTTTAATAATTTCTTCCTCGCCAGGATGCTCCCTCCTCAGCCTGGCTATCTCTTCTTCAACCCTCGCCGGTTTGATCGGTTGATAGAGGTATCGGATTTTATATTCCCATCTGGCCTTCTGCGGTGCTAGAACTGCTCTAGAATCGCCGGTACACGCAACGTGCAACATGCTTGTGACGGGACCTCATCTTGCAGTAGCCCGAGCTGTGCCCCCAGAGGAATCTAAGCCCATATCGAAAACAGAAGCATCAAGCTTTTCATAAAGCTCTGCTTGATACATAGCTCGCTCTGAACCGCCCTATCGGACAAGCAATCCTCTCTTTGTCGAGGCCGACTTGGCCTGGCCTGGCTCAAAGCCGTAGCGAACATGGGGCAGCAATTGCTTCTTTTTCGTACAACATTCTCTTCTTAATCTTCGCAGTCGAAGCGTAGCAAGCCCCTAAGCTAGCCTTTGCTATCTATCAGGACGGCTCTTTCTTGTTATCACGCGACTTAAGCTAGCCCGGTCGGCATTAACAGCCAGCATTATTGCGAGCTGCGAGCGGACAAGAAAGCGTAGAGCGAATTCTCTAAGTCGCGCCGTATCGTGTCATATAGAATTCGGCTTCTTGATTGTTTCGTGGATATAGATAGGTAGGCGTGATTTGGATCAAGTCGGATGCTGCCAGTCAGTGGTCATGGAGGGGTTGGCGACTCAGAGTGCGCGGGTGTGGTGCTTTCGCGTGCTCGGGATAATACATACCCACCTATCCCGTGATCTATAAATCTGCCAGGCCCTTAGCGAAAGACCTACTACCTAGGTATATACAGACATTCAGAATAGCGCCAAAGCTGCCTGGTGATAATGGGCGTTGATCTTACAGCTTTAGAGGCCCATGCGGGACAGAACACTTTCGCGGGACACATTACTTCCGCCCGCTTTAAGAGATGGCCCCAAAGGTAAGGTCCATTTCGTTCACCTCTCGCGCAATCATCTTCCTCGACTTATCATGGATGATCCCTTCGTCCATTTTTTTGCTCTCGAGTATGCCCCAGCCAGCTAGTTCGGGTAATTCTGGATTGGAATGAAAGAGAAGAAAGAGAGAGTAGAATGCTAGCGCAAAGAATTAAACACATCGGACGAGAGTTATGTTCAGAGTGTCCCCATCGGCTCCCGCTCCCCCAAAGCGCAAACAAATGCCAGCCCCATCGCCAACACATCCAGCAGCCCCCAGCCTCACCACCACGACCTCCCTCCGCCGTGTCTATTAGCCCAGCCCAGTCCGTCCGCATGAAAGAACTCCGCCCTCCGTACAATTCAAGCAAACTGTTGTATCAAGATCAAGAGGATTTTTTGGATGTACTCGGTCGGCTGTCCCCCACGCCCCAACCCGCTGTGAATATGTCGAAGAAGTTGCCGCAAGAGATAAAAAAAGATGTGCTGTTGGGAACGCGCGCGCGAAAGGTGAGAAATGCAAGAGCTTTTACCCCTTGCCCGGTCCGCCATTTTCTTTATACCTGCCATCCCCTGACCCACGCCTTGCCAGCCCCCCGAACCTGCTACCCGTGCAAATATGCCATCAATGTAACAACCCAGCGCTGCGCTATATTCCAGAAACCTCCGAAAACCAATATATCAATATGATCGTTGTCATCTCATTTCAATCGCGAAAAGCCGTTGCTGTCCTGAAAGAAACAGTTCATACACGTGAAAAGAGAGGGCAGTCCGGATCCTATGTAATAGACCGCAAGAAATCGAGGGCGCGAGAACCTTGTTTTGTAAACCATTTATTGAGCTCCAGGAGACTTGCTTGGAGGAAGGTTAGCGCTGCCACTGTTCTGGCGAGCGTCACCGCTACCCATCGACATGTTGCTCATCCCAGTCGAGAGAAAGGCGAATGGATCGCTCTCGCTCTGGCTGGAGTAAAAGTTATTCCCTGGTCCAGCGGAAGCTGGTCCGTTGCTGGCGGACTGGAAAGCAGCTTCGGCAGCACGGCTGTCAAACGGTCCAGCGGAGTGAGAGCTCGCACCAGCTGAGCTGAAATGGGTGTTGAGGGATCCAGGGTATGGACCAGTGGACGCACCGAGTCCAGACGGGAGAGCGTACGTGCTCTGGGGACCACCATAGTGCTGGTTACCGTATCCGCCACCCGAGCTGAATCCACCGCCGGCAGCCGATGTGAAAGGACCAGGGCCAGGAGTCCCTGCCATGGAACCCGGACCCATTCCGCCATAGTTGGAAGGAGTGTCCATTGGAGAAGGATAACCCGAATCAGCCACGACAGCCGCACCTGCTCGGGAGGCACCACAACGGAGACAACTGACGTTCTTCGCAAAGTTGTGATATCCGCAGCCTTCGGAGCCACACTTCCAATCCCCAGCCCGGAAAGGAACAACACCCCCACCCCCACCCATTCTTCCGCCGCCGCCGTGGCCGCCACCCATACCGCCGTGATGACCCATGTGCTGGGGAGGGGGCATCATGGCTGGGGGGCCGTATCCATAGCCGCCACCGTAGCCCCCCATGGAATCTCCACTCGGGCCAGCGCTCATAGCGGGGAAAGAGCATCGGAAACATGCGGTACGACGCTGGAAGTTGGAGAATCCACACGATGGGCAGGTCCAGTCTCCAGGGCGAGGTCGGTTCTTGCTAGGAGGGAAGGGGGTCAAGATTTCTGCAGCTCGGTCAAGAACACGGCTAGAAGAGGGGGACACCTCGATCGCCTTCTCATTCAAGGCTCGGCCATTCATGCACAAACTTTCTGCGGCCTGGTATGGTGTTAGACAATGGCCGCGAACATGAAAGAATTTGACAAGGGCAGAATGGGATAGGTTGAGCAGTTTGTCATAGAGAAGTAGAATGAACTCGCAATCCGCCGAGGCGACAATTTGATGTGACTTGCACGCCCGACAGAACAGATAAACATGAATAAAGGATTTTGATCTAACCTCTTCGTGGGATGAGAAAACGGCAAAGCCGGATCCGGTAGGTTTGTGCTGGTCTGGGGTCCGTAGAGTCCAAAAGGCAATGGGGCGGCCTCCAAACTGGGTGAACCAGCTCTCCAGCTCCGATTGAGTGGTATCGTGGGGGAGACCAGCCATGTGCAAGACTTTGCTGCGTTCAGACAAGAATGCTCGCACGTCGGCACGGGCATCCATCGGCCTCGTCAAAACATCCGGATGCTCGTGGGCCGGTTGAGACTTGCGAATCAGGCCTCGGAGAACTCTTGTCAGGGTGATTGCCTCCTCCATGGCTCTGCGGGGCGAGGCAGGCGCCAGAGCTTGCAAGTGGAATGGCAGGTTGTGCTTGATGGGTGCACTGGCTTGTACCGGTTCCACCTCGAGCGCAGCACAGATGTTGGACAGCATCGATGGCCCGAATGGCAGAGACTCGGGGTGATGTTGCTGCCAGCGCTGGTACTCGGTCCTCAGATCGAAAGTTCGGGAGTGCTGGAGATACGGTGGGAGCACCACGGCCTTGTCGCGGGCTTCACGGGGAAGCTGAACTCGGAGATCCCACGAGTCGAGTGTTACGAAAGAGAAGTCGAGGCTCTGGGAGGTGAGGTGCTCGCTGGCAAAAGCGTCGAATCGGTTGATCGCATCGCGGAAAGTTCCAGCGTTGCGGACGTGCTCCCAAGTCAATGTCGTGAGGCTCGCTGCACATTCAATATCAGCATTCATCCCATATGACTGTCGTGAACCGTGTGCTGCCTTAACATTGGACCCGCCCGGATGTGTTTATACATGTGTATATGTATATATATCTATTGATCTGCATGCCACTTACTGCAGAGTGGTGTAATAGGGGTATTGATGGGCTTGACCAAGACGCTCTCCCGATGCAACTGGCGCATTGATGGTCAGCAGATTCTTCCGATGGCAGGTAGAGGCAGGCGGCAGAAGGGAAAATAGTTCACCTCTTCGCAGGATTTGGCATCCAGAAGTATCCAGCCAAGCTCTATCACCTCTGCAGAATCTTTCGTCACGTATACGCCGTGCTCGTCGCAGGTGGTGGCCACATGGATCACCACGTATCTGTCGAGATTGCCCTGCTGGCTCGGTGCGGAAGCGGACATCTTGGAGACGGTGTGGGCTGGAGGAGAGAGAATGGAGTGCGAGGTGAGGTGCGGACGAATTGTAGCTCCGAGAAGCGGCGAGAGCAGTAGTCGGCGTGGGGTTGATGAGAGAGAGAGAGGAGCAGCAGGAGGAGAGGACGCTGAAGAGGGAGGAAGGTGGCGGAGGATAGAGTTTGGAGAAGATGGGCGCGACTTGGATCCCAAGGTGAGGTCGGACGAAGAGGCGAGACGAGACGAGACGAGACGAGACGAGGCGAGGGGAGTGGAGAAGAAAGGGGAGGGGAGGGGAGGGCAGAGGAAGTGAGCTCGGGATACGGAGCCTCCTTTCTGGGTGGAGGTCGAGGTGGAGGTGGAGATGGAGGTGGAGGTGGAGGTGGAGGCGGAGGCGGAGGAAGTGGTCGGCGGAGGGCAAAAGAAATAGGAGTCGGTCGGGGTTGATCCGAGACGAGGCGAGATGAGATGGGTGAGGTGAGGTGAGGTGAGTGAGCGAGAATGTTGCGCTCGGTGGAAATGGGGAGAAATCAATTGCACGCAGGTTCAGCAGCACAAGGCAGCAGAACTCGCAAATTACAGTACATTCATTACTTTACATTAATTACTCTGTACGGCGGTACCAGGGACCCGACCCGACCAGATCCAGGTCCCTAGTAGGTAGACCTGGTAGGTAGACCTGGTAGGTAGACCTGGTAGGTAGACCTGGTAGGTAGACCTGGTAGGTAGACCTGGTAGGTAGACCTGGTAGGTAGACCTAGTAGGTAGACCTAGCAGGTCCTACTTCAACCAAATAGTTGCACCGACTGCAGATAGAGTAGGGTACCTACGCACCTACGCACCTACAGCCACTGCTACTGGTTGGTTACCTACGGCTGGTACTGCTTACTACTACTACTGGTAGTAGTAATTACCCACTACGCGGCTGAACCTAGACGGCGGTCGTGCTCGACAGGGAAAAGACTAGGAGGGAGGTCCGTTCCGACACCGCGTACGGGGGCTGCTTACCTAAATGATCTGGCCTTGTTTGTTTACTTACATTCGGAAGAGAAGTGGGAGGATATGGAGAGGTAGAGATCCGGCCATAATCACAGAAAGCACTCTCCTGCCCATGATCCATATACGCATTGCATCCACCCACCTTGCTACCTGCCGCAGCTTCTTTCTTATTAAAAAAACAAAAACAAAAACAAAACAAAATACAAAATACAAAATACAAAAAAAAAGAAAAAAAAAAAAAAAAAAAAAAAAAAAAAAAATTAAAAAACCTCGCGCTTGGTCAACAGGAACAAGAGCTGCTGCTACTTAGCGCTATATGGATTTTCTTATCTGGCTCGTTTATACTTTCTCGACAAGGATGTAGCTTTTACTGCAGTTGTACTACGTACGTAGTACCTACCCATTGTGCTCTCTCTGTATGCCTACCACTACTGTATGTTTGTTTACTTGTCGACGAGCACAATCAGTTCCGTGGCTAGAGTATAAAATGTAACATCAAATGTGAGCAGTCCCGATTCCCGGAGAGAGCAGAGGATCCCGTACGGTCCAACGCCTTCTCAACGGTCAGTCAGTCAGCCTCGTAATTAATCATCCTTATATCGACATGTCGACTCTTCCCTGTTGGGCATGCAGACATCTCTCCACTATTAATCTCTTCAACCCCATATATCCAATCTACACTTACCTAGTACCCTGAGGCCTGAGAGCCGCTGCAGCCGGATTTCGATTTCCGCTCCAGCTCTTTGGTTGCTGGGAGACTACGTCCCAGTGGTAGTACCGGTGTCATGAATGAGAAGAGTAGTGTTCATTTAGTAATAGTACCAATATACAATAGACGAATACGGATACATAGATACATACCTACCTACCTACAGACCTCAATGATGAAGCTGCCCGAATCTTTCTCGTTCGAAGAAAAGAAGGAGCAAAAGAAAATGACGAAAAGGAAAGAAATAAAAAGCAATCTCCTTCCAGCCTCCGCCCTGTCACAACAGCGTGCGCGCCACGAGTACAGTGCCGTTTCTCTCCTCCGCCCCTTTCTTTTCCCCGACGGAGTGCCCCTGATGAGCCTGAACCCCTGGTCGTCAGCGTCACCGTCACTGTTCACCTACCTACCAGGGCAATAATCAAGGTCTTGGACACTGGATCCATCCCGTCCGCAGCCCGAGGCAGGCCCGCACCAATCGGGGGCTACCTATCCAAACGGGTCTTGTCTTGATATACGGGTACTACCGGTACTCCTACGTATCAATCATCATACAGTAGAATCCAAAATAATCAACAATAATAATAAATAATAAAAACAAATTTACAAACAATCACAATCATAACTCGACACTCACTCGGAATCGATCCAGGCAGCAACAGAGATATAGTGTGACTTACCACCATCACCACAGCTCCTCGAGTCGCACTCCCTTTCCTCTTTCTCTCCGGGCCTTGGTGAGCATCCCCGTCTTTGATTCTTTTCCTCGCACGACTTGCATTAGTCAGTCAGTCACACTTTAAAGATAAAAATAAAAAATAAAATAGTCTGGCATAGAAAAACAAAAGAAGAAAAAAATGAAGAAGAAAAGGAAAAAGAAGACGGGAAAAAAGCCACGTTATCATTTAAAATCTGGATAACCCCTGAGACCTGCTCTTTTCTAGAATTATAGCGATCGAGGCCAAGATGGAAGATGTAATTTCACGATCTGCTCTTTTGTATTGCTTTTTTTCATTTTCAATCGGTATCAATTGACGACACTAGGCGAGACGAGCCGTGCCGAGCCAACCCCTATTATTCAGACCCCTCGCACGCGCTGCTCCCGTGAAACCTTCTCTTCGTTTGCTATTCTTTATCAAAAAGAATTTAATTTTTTTTTAAATCCAGATATCTTATTGAATGTATTGATGTCTATCCATTTTCATACCTACTACGTATATCCAATATCTCTCCTCCCGACTTCATGATACTTTATGATTAATTAATCCACGCAATACACTGCAATAACCATTTTCAGGATATAAAATCCAATTGCAATTAATGTACACCCTCTCTCAAAGAAACCACATCAACCGCCTCTCTCTGCACCTTTTCCATTGGGAACTGGTTCGCTATAGAAGTGAAGCAATATGCTCAATATCGCTCAACATTTCAGACTTCGCGATCAAGCCCGCTGTTTTTAGAGGCCAGAATTACAGGGAATATATAACTTTACGTACCGATTCGAAGCCAGATTCCAGCACCGATCGGCCCGATCCTGACTTGGACGATAGTCCATAAGCTTTTCAAATGACGTGGATATCAGGAGGTCATATCTACAGGAGTTTCAAAAGCTCAAACCATCTCCTATAATACCACCAAATGAAATTAAATGTTTGGTTTTGCACTATTCGTACAGCTATCTGATTTGTTGATAGCCGTTTGCTGCACGATAGCGGCGAGTAGCCACTCGACGACGCGAAGAGAAAAAACAAAAAACAAAAAAAAAAAAACACTCGAAATATACAGAGGTAAAGCGGTTAAGTGTTGTAACCCTTGCTACACCACAGCCACTATTCTAACCTAATTGAGCAATAATCTGATACTAAGCTCGGAACCTTATAGAATCTCGAAAAGCCTTACGGAATAATACTACTTACTACTTTACTTTGTACTTCGTATCAAGATCAGATTACTGCTCGATTAGGTTAGAATAGTGGCTGTGTTACAGCAAGGGCTACAATACTTCACCGCTGTACCTCTGTATATTTTTCGAAAATTAAAGGATATCAGATATCGAACTCTGAAAACGCTTAAGTTAACGAACGAAATCCTATAGCTTCTAATAAGAATTTCTTTCTGGCAAGGATCATTCTTTCAATCGTTTTCAATCTTGGGTACTGAGAGCTTAAAACCAGTCAGCTGACTGTAACTCATATACGTAATAGTACATGAATAAGCCATCGCTGCAGGGCCCCTGCTCGAAAAAAATGCAAATTCATATACCCAGTCGGAGTTAAGTAAACTGCATCGGAAAACGCGCGTTTATTATTCCACTTTTTCCCGAGCGTGGGTGAGAGTTGCATTTAGATATAAGCCTGACAGGACCGATGGCAAGCTGATTACCTGTACCATCATTTTGTTTTCTGATCGCATTTGAAAGTATTTCGAAAATAATACATACATACATACATATATATATATATATATATATATATATATAAACTTCTCGCGCTAAATGAAACTATACATCGATAACAGTTACGTAGTACTTTAGTAATTTTCATTTACGCAACACAACGCTACGCTGTTGAAGATTTTGGATATATTTATGATTCTGATATCGATGAATAAAAAGTAGACTTAAGAAGTCTATCGCACCTTCGCCTGCTTATCAGTATTCTTCAGAGAGGCTCGATTCTTTACCTGTACTAGGTGCCTCCTCCGAACCTTCAGCTCTTTTTCTTTTTTTTTTTCTTGCGATAAAGAAAGAATAAGTCTGGAAAGCTGAAATTTGATCATCGATATGCGACGTTTCTTTATCAAGTACTTCTTTTATTCGCGGCTCTGTCACTGTTGGTTTGCTGGTAATAACAAACGTCAAATAAACAAAGCTTCTTCTGTGTATTGCAACAGGTAATAAAAAGGGCTCTTTCCGCACTGAATTGATTATGAATCTTGATTGATTCTAACTAAGAATTTACTCTTTTAAAAGAATATACAAGTTCTATTGAATATATTAAAAAGGTTAATAGTGGGCCTTGACGTCGCAACTTTTAGGACCCTTCCTTAAAGCGGGCGAAAAAGTAATCGTCGGCTCGCTTAGGTAGGCCTCCTTACATTGTAGAAGCACCAAAAAAGAACTATCGTATAGAAGCCCGGCACCAAGGCTAGACCTTATGGTCCTTATAAAGAAGTATAAAAAAAGATGGGTGGAAAGCTCGTTGATTATTTTAGCTAAGAAGTATATGCCCTTTTATAAAAGATAAGCCTATCTAGTGCGGCCTTAATGGCTTAAGCAGGAAGCATAACAGACAAAGTGTTT